ATCACACACGATATGTCACACATCACGGACCAGGATTATGTTTACGTCCTCGAGCATGGCTCGGTTGTGCAATCAGGATACCGGCATGAGCTAGAAAATAGCCCAGCAAAGGAGAAGTACTTTTCTTTCGGCGACAAGCAAATCTCTCCAGAAAATCTTCCAAAGCCGGATGTCCCCTACACCAGTGACGAGACGGAGGTAGTCGATGTTCCAAATACTATCTGCCCAAGTAACTTTGAGCTTCCGAAATACGAAGAAACATCAATTCTGTCAAGGAAAATTCCTTCTGAATTTGAGAACGATCACAGGTTCGATCGCAGAATCGAAGAAATGCAGGATTCCGCCGGAGTGAGTAACATGGTCAAGATGCAGGCGACGTCCCAAGCAGAAGAGATCTCATTACCTGACGGAGTTGCTATACCGATGCGTGAACTAAGTACGGCGCAGTCACGCAGATCATTCATATCTGCTAATCAACTTCAATTTCATCGTACTTCTCTGACTCTCCCTGTTCCTCAAGCAGAAGCAACAAATTATCGGCAGTCTGTCAAACGGCCTCAGCCCGCAAGAGGGAACACTCCACCTTCTGAGCAGCAGCGTCTCCCAATAAGCCATATCATGCGGACATTGGTGCCCAGCCTCACCATGAGACAGCGATTGCTGCTGCTGCTCGGGATCATGTCTGCCCTGGTGGATGCTTCTGCAACACCTGTTTTCTCTTACTGCCTCTCTCAGCTCTTCCAGTCATTCTACGACACGAGAGTCAGCTCCTTGAGATGGGCGCTGGCTGTTCTAGGTGTCGCCATAATTGATGGGACTGCGTCTTACTTCATGCATTATATCTTGGAAGCATCTGGCCAGGCCTGGGTTGATCAGCTTCGCAAGGAGGCATTCAATCGAGTGTTGGACCAGCCTCGGCAGTGGTTTGATGAAGAAGGCAATTCAGCCTCCAGAATCACTGCTTGTCTTGATCAAAACGGGGAAGATATGCGGAACCTGGTAGGCCGTTTCGGCGGCTACGTCCTGGTAGCTGTGGCAATTACTGTGACGGCAGTCGTTTGGTGTCTAGTCGTCTGCTGGAAGCTCACCCTGGTGGCGCTGTCTTGCGGTCCAGTCATTTATGCGATAACCAGGGGATTTGAAGGAACCAGTGGACTATGGCAGGGGCGATGCAATGAAGTGGGCAGGAATGCATCCGACGTATTCGTCGAGACATTCTCAGAAATACGTACTGTGAGGACCCTGACGCTCGAGCCGTTCTTTCACAAGAAATACTTGAAGGCGGCGTCAAAATGCATGAAAATGTGCCTCAAGAGAGCGTGCTATACTGGGATTTTGTTCGGCCTCGTAGAGTCCACAATAATCTTCGTGAGTGGTGAGTAGGCACCTCCCTCCTGCCATTGACTGTTCTAAGAGACTATGCAGGTTTGATTTTTTACTACGGAGCGCTTCTCGCATCGTCCGGATATACGGTTGAAAATGTGATGACCGTCTTCTCGATGCTTTTATTTAGCATCGGATATGCGAGCACGGTACTTTCATGGAGTAAGTCTTGTCGATTCCTTACCCTGCATACAAAATCTCGCCTGTAAGATTGCTAATTTCTCTCAGTTCCACAAATCAGTGCTTCTCAAGACATGGCCACTCAGCTGCTACGTCTGGCGAACCTTCCTATCGGGAAATCCCATGAATATAATGGTGACAGACGCCCTCTGAAGGCGACACCGGTGAAAATTCGGAGTCTGACCTTTCGATATCCGTCACGGCCCGACGCTCCCGTTCTCCGAGACGTGACTCTCGCTATTGCTGAGAATTCTTGTACAGCAATTGTAGGTGGCTCTGGATCAGGAAAATCGACCATAGCATCGTTGATTCTTTCCCTCTACGAAACACCGCTGTCCAGACACGGCGCGCCAACCATCTCAATCGGAGGTCTGGATATCCGACATTTGCACACGCCATCACTCCGTTCCCTGGTATCAATTGTCTCACAGCAGCCTACGATATTCCCGGGCACCATACGTCATAATATCTGTTACGGCTTGAGTGACGAGTCCCCCCTCCGGGAGTTACACAGAGTTCGTGCTGCAGCTCAAGCTGCGGGCATCGATGACTTCATCGTGTCACTTCCCAACGGCTATTCAACTGCCATTGGGGACGGTGGCGTGGGCCTGTCCGGCGGACAGGCGCAGCGATTGGTGATTGCGCGAGCTCTTGTACGCCGGCCGCAGGTGCTGATCCTGGACGAGGCTACTTCGAGCCTTGATCCGGAGAGTGCAAAGGTGATTCGGCAGACAGTGCAGAGGCTGGTTTTGGCTCGATCAGGCCTTACTGTGATGATCATTACACATGCCAGAGAAATGATGGAGATTGCGGATAATATCGTCGTTCTTCAACAGGGGTATATTGTGGAACAGGGTCCTTACGATGTTCTTGCCAGGCGGCCCCATGGGAAATTGAAAGCTTTGATAGAGGACAGAGAGGGCGTTGACTCGTAGTCCAACAGCTCGCCCTTTCAAAAGTCATAACAAGTCTTATTGCACATTAGCGAAGTGGCGATTGAACCAATCCAGAGCCTGATCTTCTGCCTCAATAGCCTGCTTTTCTGCATCTTCCAGAACATGGTCTGCCCGCACGCAGAACCCATGACCAGCCCCATGGTAAACCCTCACGTCACCAACCCCATCCTTACTCTCCATAATGTTCTTGATCTGCTCAATCTGCGGCATTTTCACGGCCATATCCAATTCCCCCAACGCAAAACTAACGGGGATCTTTATCTTCTCAATATCCCCGGGGATGTTCAAGAGGCTAGGATGTCCCGTGAAGCCAGCATTGATCAACGGTTTGCCGTCTACTTCAGCTCCGTGAGCCAGAGTGACGGTGTGCTTGCCTCCCCAGCAGAAACCGGCTGCTCCGACGGGGAGCTGGGCGCCTTCGTTCTGGCGGACAGCGGCGAAGAATGACTTGACGATGGGCCAGGATTTGCCGGGCCGGTTGAAGTACATGAATGGGAGCATGGAGTACATCGCGCAGCCGATGTAATAGCTGTTTGACCGCCTCAACATTCTCGGACATATATTTGGCAGGAAAGAGACTTACGGTTTGAAAAGCCAGTCGTAGAGGGTATCGGTTTTGAACAGATCCCGCATGACACTTATAGCCCACACGGGGCACGAGTGTCCTATTCAGAGTGAGCATAGAGTCAAATTCTATTTTCCCATCTCTACTAGCACCAAAATATCTCCTGAATGCTCTGGTTCTCACCATTCATGAAATCCGGGAGATAAACTTTATACCTCCCCTTCTGGGCATAATGATCCGCCAGTATCCGATTATTGACAAACTCCCAGCCGAATGCATCGGGAATGATGATGATAATCCCCCTGATTGCTGCTGCTGCTGAGTGACCCGTAGGCTCCGGCGCTGGCGATGCAACGTAGACGTCGAGTCCGTGCAATTTAGTCACCTGGCCCTGTGGCTCACTGGAGTGTACATGGCCGCTGAAGCAATCGGGGCAGGACATGGATTTATTCTGCAGATGATTAAGTTATTAATTATTGCTTGTTTTTCTGATAGAGTCGATGGATATCAGAAGAATGATGAGATCTACACGCAGGCTGGGATTATGTGTTTCTGTGTTTGCGGGGACGATTGATCTGATAGCATGTGACACTGATAATGTCCTTATGCAAATCCCGTTAGTGCAACCTTAATTTTCAGGCTGCGAGGCTGGTAGCTTCGTCGTCTCCAAGCAGGAAAAGGTTGAGCTGCATGATCATCATGTTTCCTGCTGTGAGATTAATATTCCTACACGAAGATGATTATTTCCCCGCTGATAAGATAATGATTGCTTCGTGGTTAATGCTACTGAAACAGGCCGATTACTCTTGTCCGCTGCGGTTACAGTGGGGTGGCTTTACAAGAGTCCGTGGCATGCAAGGAGATTTGGATGAAGCTTGTCAACGCACACGGAGTATCTAGATACTTTGCGGCCAATGCGGACAATCCGGAGCCAAAGAATTGTCTTGATCTATCTCGACTTGTATGAATATTCCGGTTCTTCCGAGACCACCAGAAGAACCATGGGATAGCTTGGGACGAATCATGGATGGGTCCTTGAGACTCAGAGAGAGTTCGGTACAATTCTAAAAATGGATCTTAGGCTGCGTTGAGAAATGATAGTCGCCAGTCAATTGTGAAACCCACGAGCTCGGCAAGGAGTGGACTGTGGCGGGTGCCTTTGCGGATGGGTACTTTGATGGCAATGACCATGGTATAGCTGCTAGACTACCATGATTAAGAACCAGTGTCCCTGATTGATGTCTAAATTATGGAGCTGGACAGGCACTGCACTGCGTAAGCCATAGATATACATTGTTAAAACAGGACAAATTAAGGCATACCTCTCTAATACTGCCAATTTATCTGCCTTCCGCCTTCAATCTCACCAGCCACCCTGTGCAGTACTAATACTAAAGGGATCTTCCTTTTCAGCCCATTCATGACAGCCTCTGATTAGCTTGCTCTGCTTTAAGGCAATGATTCTGCTGTTAGATCGTTATCCTACTAAGATCTACTCCATATTCCAGCCAAAATCATCACAGATTCCACCATAATACAGGCCCTTTTCTTTGCTTTGTCTCTTGTCTCTTGTCTCCTCTCACCTCCTTCTCTTCATGCCTATCTGCACTGTCCATGTCCCTAATCATGGATTTAGTGATTGTTGATACTATCTTCCTAATCTATACCATTGTTCTGTGATGATCTGTTGCGTTTTGTTAGCTTCTATTCTATATATAACCTCTTATCTGCGCCGAGACTTGCCTTCACTGTCTGGGAGCAGTGTCTCTGCTGTCTCTTCAGCGAAGTGTTCTTCGCTCTGACCTCTGTTCCTCTTGACATCTCTTTTGCTAACAACAAAGACGTCAAGATTCGTTCTGGAAGGAACTTGAAAGGAGACGCTACTTTCTCAATACCTGACGGATCGGGCGGCTGTGATGTATATCCCACCCCAGGTTCGTGGGCTCATGGCCCGTCAAGATGGCGGCAACACCGGCCCTGACAACAAAAACCAAGGCTCTGATAGAAACATTATGTTTGTCTTTGTGAGTGCCCATTCTTGTGTTTATATTGATCTAATACTTGCTGTCAGCTAATTGTTTGAATTTCTAGATCGCCCTGGGCATTGTCCTCGTGCTCGTCCTGCTCGTTGCCTCCTACTTTGGCCTGAAATATTTGCGGCGGAAGGGCTGCTCCCCGAAATACCTCCCAGGAAAATACTTGAAAGACAAATGGAACCGTTGGAACCCTGGAAAGTTCTATGACCCAGTCTCAAGTGGCTTTCGAAGCGGATCTGCTACGGGTGCTGAAGGCACGGAAATGACGACCGCGAGAACAACCAATCCCGTCCGTCGAGATGCTTCCATTCGCTCCGTGGTCACTCTTCCTGCCTATTCTGCAAATCCCAAGCCTGAGGAACAGGTCATCGCGCGTGAAGGCGAGCGTGACGGGATGGACACCGTCATTGAATTTCCCGAGACCGCTGAAGAAGAAGAGGCTCGCCGGGAGGAGCTCATGGCATCGCTGTACGAAATCCGTCAGCGCCGGCGCGAGGAACTAGCAGAACGTGAGGCTAGGCGACAGGCGCGGCGTGAAGCTCGTGAGCGTGGAGACCGTGCCCAGCTAGAGATTTTACGGGAACAGGATCGACTTCGTGCTCGCCAACGTGCAAGAAGTCATTCGTCCACCAATGCCAGCAACAGTGCCACCAACCTCGCTACGGCGTTAGCCGAGAGCCAGACTCGTGGTCGCGGCAGGCGGATTGCCAGCGTCAGCTACGCGGACGTGGGCTACGTTCGTCACGATGGATCACGGGTCCGAGCAACTTCACACGATTCCGATCGTCGCCCCCTGCTGTCGAATGGCCCTTCCGGCAGTTTCGATGCTTCTAACAGGTCTTCTATGGTCGATATCCCAAGCATTCACTCGCGAGGAGAGTCATACTCATCCGGCTCCACTGGTCCTGTTGATTCGGGTGCCTTGACTCGAGTGCACTCCGAAGCACATTCCATCGTCTCTACCCTTCCATCCACTCCAGGCGGCGAGGAGGGCGATGTTGGTGCTCTCGCCATCCCCCCTCCGGAGTACGATCATCTGGACTGGGGAGAAGCCCCTCCGTATCAAAGCCCCGTCACCGAAAGGAACGAACAAGCCGCACATTCCCAGGAGCTGATAGTTGTACCTACAATTCATATTGATGCAGCAAGCCCTGTCAGCGACAATTTCCCGGCGACCGCTCCTCGTGCGTCCAGAGAGCAGCACGATTCGACTCCAGATTCTGCTGAAACTCACTAGAGCTTTGCAGTTCACACTGGTTTCGCGACCGACCTCTCTTCCTAACCTACTACCTACAGCTTGGATGTGTGCAGCGTTCATTGCGTCTTGCATTCATTTTATCTCCTGCATCGGACGGCGGGTTCACGTGCATGACTAACGACGATTCATCATTTCTCTCATAACGGCTCTGAGAGGAACTCTAAATAGCACGGCGTTTGGAGCTTCATCGGGAAATATCTCTTTTATCTGTTCTCATCTGTTTTTTCTGCGTTTCTCTCCTGATGCCTTATCTCAACATGTACATTGAGTTGATATTGCTGCTGCTCGAGGAGTTGATAGCACGCAGTTTGAAGACGAATGGAAATAGTCAATTACATAAATGCCTACTTTGCCTTCAATCCACCCGAATCCAAAAGTATGAGAAAAATAGCGAAGTGTAAATACTTGCAGCACCATTTTGGTCGTTGTCCGGAGTACTCCGTACACTGTACAGTTGGTATACTAAGGCGGTCACTCCGACGGCAGCTCCACCTGGCCGAGTAAACAAATCAACAACTCCCCCAGCCTCCTCTTTTCCCGTCCCGCAGAGTTTCAAAGCTGACTTCTGATCATCCATCGCATCATTTTGCGATTGATGCAAATAATTCGACTCTATCTAATTGCATTACTCTTCTATAAACTCAGTTGGGGTACCCGTATCCCAATTGTCATTATTGCTTCGCGTGGACGCTCGTGGCCGCCGACGCGCTTTACCTAAACAACCCAGCGATTACCTATCACCTCTTGGAAGTTATAACATCAATCCTAGTTTAAACACAAGCATTCATGTCTGAAGTCAATTGAGCTTCCAACTGACTTGTATCGCTACATTCGCTTTTGAAACAAGACGCGTCATAACTTTGACCACCATGTCGCGCGAGAATACCAGACGCTCCGAAGCCACGACACACAGCTTCGCGTCTTTTGGCTCCGATTTCGACCCAGAGCATGAAGCCCTCGCGTCTACGAAACACTTTGAGAACAGTCCCAAATTACCCGAGATGAAAGGCAGCGCCAGGAAACAAATCAACAACTTTGAGGACGAAGAGCCCGACTACGCCATTGATACCTCTGCATTGGAACGCGCCTTCCCTGAATTCTCCCCCGTGGGCACCTCCGAAGATGACACCGAAGAAAGCATATCGGTCGAAGCTGGACGGGGCCTTAACAAGCCGACGCGTCGGCTCGATGACTCGCGAAACTCCATGATGAGTATAGAAAATAGTGTGCGCTCGTCCTCGCCAGCCGTCAGACTCGATTATCCTGCCTCGCATACGCCTCAGAAACCGGCCATGCGCGTTTCCTCAAGAAGGACCGCCAGCGAGAGTCTACGAAAAGATGCTCAGCTGAGACAGGCCAGTCTTGCCCACAAGGAAAATCGCGACCCTCTTTCGTCCAAAACAACCCGCAAGGACCAGCGACGGACATTGTCTGAAATGCACGCGAAGGTCCGCGATTCATACGATGGTTCCTTCATTGCCGATGAGAGACCTCAGCCTGTGGCAACCAGTACGCGTGCGACTCGCTTCGGAAACGTCAACCTTTCCCATCAGATAGCAGACGCGGTGGAGAGAGCGTCACAGGAGGCTTACGCTAAGGAAATGCGTCGGGGGAAGTTACCCAGCAACCTGCGCAACGGGTCCGGCAATGGTGCTGGCGACACGGGCACAATGCAGTCTTTTCTTCTTCCTGATCTTCCCAATTTGTCGGAGTTGGTCTCGGGTGTCTACGAAGACGGCACACCGGTTTATACGCGTCAGAGCCGAGCTAGGGCAACACGATTTGTTTCTCCTCCGAATGACGGTGCTGATGTGTCCATGACTCGTGAACATATCCCCCTCGACGCTATTCCCATCCCAGAAGATGAAAAGGCCCTCTTTGTTTCTCTGAGACTTCTCCAGGATAAAGTGTCGGAGCTCGAAAGGGCAAAGTCGGATGCGGAGAGAAAAATTGATGAAATGCGACAGGAAAATGCGGCTTTGAAGGCTGGCCGGTCCCACCGCAAGGACAAACATGGCCGTTCTCGCGTGTATGAATCCGAAGACGATGACCACAGAAGAGACGTGGGGTCTCATTATCAGAGTGAGTTACCTTACCGCTACAGTTTGAGAATCTCAAGATGCTAACGATTACTTCAGAAGTCGAAGCTTCGAACCTGGCTTTGCAAAACCAATTGGATATCGTTGAGCGGAGGGCGCAGATGAGCGAGGCGGCGCTGAAGAAGTTGAACCGTGAGAGAGACATGGCTGTTTCCCAGTTGGGAATAGCCTATCTCGAGTCTCGAGATCTGAAAAGCGAGAATGAGAGCTTACGACAAGAGAATGCTGAACTTAAGGAACAGCTGGCTAAATTTGTCTCGCTGGCCTCAAAGACTCACGAGGATACTGGTCGTTCAGAAGCAACATCCGCGGCGGAAGCAAGCGTTGAAGACAGCCAGGTCGACACGCAGCGAAGTGAGAACATGAGTCGGGCCACCAAAGATCTTACCAGTAAGAGTACAAGATCGAAGAGGGCCGGCCGTGTGGAAGACTCTCGCACAAAGATCTCGAAACAGGTCGACAAGGAGATCTCTCGTCTCGAGAAAGAGCGAGCTGATGAAGCTCTTTTCACGATTGATCTGCCAAGAACCAGGCCCTCGAGCTCCCGAGCCGAGAGATCCCAGAATCAGAAGCAAACAGGCAACACGAAAGCGAAGAAGCAGCCAAACACAGGAAAGCAGCGGGTGAAAAGGGTAATTGTGGAAGAAGTCGAAGTCACTGAGCCTTTGGATTCAGCCACTGAAGACGCCACGGGTCATACCAGGAAATCCTCTGCCACAGAGCAAGAGTTGACGTTGCTGAGCTTTGTTGACGTGAGTTTGTTGTTACTCTGTTTACCATTGTCCGTCACTAATGTGATCGCCACAGGAACGTGAAATCGCTCAGCTGCGAAAGACTCTAGAAGAAGAACGACTCGCGCGTAGACGGCGACAGTCGATCTCGACCAAAATTCAAAATTCAGATGAGACGGCAAACTCTACCCGTCAAAGCGTATCAAAATCGGTTGCGCCTCGCAAGTCCTCCCTGAAGGAGAGTAAAACCCCGATAGCGAGACCTGCCTCGGCAATGGGTGATCTGACGGCCACATCGAAAGTCAGCATGGCTGAGGCAGACAGTAATCTTTCCGTGCCCATTGAGCGCCCGAGACGGCATTCGGATCACTCCGTCATCTCCACCGTTCAGCGAAGACGTCGCCATAACATTGACGACGTGACGTCTGCTTTCATCCTGCCGGACATCACTCTCCGCCATGCTGATTTGGCAGCTGAGGACCCAAGCCGACTGCCCCAGGCTACACAAAAGGCCCTGGACAGTGCTACACAGCATGATGGCAAGAACTGCACGGTCTGCAAGCGCTGCATTCCTGGTGACTCGCAATGCGACCACACTCATGAGACTGTGAAGATCCCAAAACCTGTACCTGTTTCGGAGCGCATGCCTGAGCCTTCTGTGTACAATGAGGAGCCTACGTTGCGCCCTGCGCAACCTCCGGGTGTTGCTCTCGCGACGGTGCTCAAGGCATTGGAGGATGAACTCTCCCATCTGAAAATGCAGCTTGTAACCTATCAAGGGGCCTATAACAAGCTGGATGCCTCGTTGAGCAAACGTCAGAGGAAATCGTTGGCCGCCAAGATTGAAAAGCTTCTCAAGGACATCGACATGAAAGCTGATCAAATCTATGCGCTCTACGATGTTCTCGAAGGCCAGAAACAGAACGGACACGAGATGACTGAGCAAGAAATGGAAGTCACCCTTCAGTCCATTGGGATCGACACTGCTGCCGCCACAAGGGCAGCGGACGTGACCGCTACCACAGATAAATCCTCCCACAAAAACAACGATACTGACTTGGAAGATGATGAGGAGCTACCATGGGAGGGCATTGAGAGCACAATGGATGTCACAGGCAGAATTGGAAACTAGTTTTGGTCAAGGGCTCAGAATTTCTTCTCTCATTTCTCATCTATTCTCCTTTTCATTCCCTATTGATCTACCTTTCCCTTCGACTTTCTCATGCTCTCTCGCACGGATTTCGGTTCAGGTTTCCGACTGACCTCTTGGAGGTGTATGTCCCTGGTCCTTGAGAACTATGCGCCGGGCTGAGACGACTTTGCTGTGTTTCCTGAGACGAGTATGTCCGCTGATAGACTCGGCGTCTGACTGTCGTCGAAGCAGGGACTGGGAACGTCTATGGTTACTTGAGATCGGCTTAGCAATGTCGACTGATCAGAAATGAACTGTCCGCTGCTTGGCCTTGATCTCGTAGCTTTCGACCTCCTTTCCATTCCTCTTTTTCCTTTTCTTTTTTTCCAGTGTGGGTTTAGCTTGTGAAAGGTGTCCTGGTGGCGTTCACGAGTGTGTTCTATTTAATCCTTTTAGCATTTGGGTTAGGGATTTGGTTAGCTGTGCTTTCAATGGCTCAATGAAATGCACCTATTCGTTATATACTGTCTTCAGCTGCATTATGTGCTCGTAGGAGCACAACCTCTTAAGTCATGAAGAGCTCACTCATGGTAGTGTGGCGACAAACAACAGAGGTAAGAGCATGTGCCATATAATCAACTAATCATGAAATCCCGAAATTTGCAACTAGGGTTCATTTCAATGCAGTTGCGCAGATATGACTTTTGAAGACCCCGAAATATAATCCCGAAACCAGGTATGAAGCGTCAACCAAAATCAACCATATCAAGTGGTGCGAACCAGAGTAGGAGATCATATTTGCGTCGCACATCCAATGCGCTATATATCTGATAACTGTGCAGCAATAGAGCTTAGATCGAGTTCATCCCCTCCGCATCGTCCATCTCGCGGTAGAACCCCGCGACCAGAAACGCGAGTTCCAGCGCCTGCTTCTCGTTCAGGCGCGGATCACAGAACGTCGTGTACCGCTCACCCAGCCCTTCCTCGGTCAGCCCGCCCGCGCCGCCGACGCACTCCGTGACAGCCTCGCCGGTCAGCTCGAGGTGCATGCCGCCGAGGAACGAGCCTGCGGAGCGGTGGATCTCGAGCGCCTGCCGCAGCTCGGAGAGGATGTCGCTGAAGTGCCGTGTTTTCACGCCGGTCGGGGTGGTCTGCGTGTTGCCGTGCATGGGGTCGCATTGCCAGACGGGGAGGTGGCCGGAGCGTTGGACGGCGGCGATGTGGGCGGGGAGGTGCTCGGCGATCTTGGCGGCGCCGTAGCGGGAGATCAGGGTTACCTTGCCGATTTCGCGGGTGGGGTTGACGACGTCGAGGAGGCGGACGAGGTCGTCGGGGGTCATGCTGGGGCCGATCTTGATGCCGATGGGGTTGGCGATGCCGCGGAAGAATTCGACGTGGGCGCCGTCGAGTTGGCGCGTGCGGTCGCCGATCCAGAGGAAGTGTGCTGAGGTGGCGTAGTAGCTTTGCAGGGGGGTGCTAGTCGTAGAGGTAGAGGAGGTTGAGGTTGTGGTGGGCTGGAGAGTCGTGGTATGTGGGTTGCGGAGGAGGCGGGTGAGACTCTGCTCGTATTCGAGGAGAAGACCCTCGTGGCTGGTGAAGATGTCGACGGTCTCGACGCCTCGATCTGTGTCGATTCCGACAGTGTGCATGAAGCGCAGCGCGTCCTTGACCCGGCTAACTATGCGCTCGTACTTCTCCTTGATGGAGGGCGTGATGACGTGACCGAGTCCCCAGTCCAGTGGGGAATGGAGATCCGCAAGACCAGACGAGAGCGAGGCGCGCATGTAGTTGAGCGTGGCGGCGGAGTGGAAGTACGCCGAGACAAGCCGTGACGGATCTGGCCTGCGAGACTCTGCGGTGGCAGCGAAGCCGTTGATGTTGTCACCACGGAACGAGGGCATCTCAACGCCGTTGACCACCTCCATAGGGCTTGATCGGGGCCTGACTCTGTCAGCAACACAAGGAATGGATGAGCTGAAGGATAGTCTCCCAAAGTTAGGCAACTCACTTGGCAAATTGCCCGGCTATACGTGCGATTCGCACAACAGGTTTGTTTGCGCCTGGCCGTCATTAGTACGTGTCGATAGATGACAGAAGGCGCAAATGTACCCCAAATCAAAATCAAACTCATCTGCAGAAGCAATTTGAGTTTCGCTTCTACCATATCCTGATTGCAGTAATCAAACAGCTCGGCGCAATCCCCTGCGAGCAACACAGCGGTTAGAGATTGATATCAAAGATTCAGGCAGGACTATGTACCTCCTTGCAGAACAAAAGCTTTGCCCAAGGCAACATTTCGCAAGCTCTTTTTCAGATTCAGAATCTGACATTCGACAGTTAGCTTCACATTTTTTGCTGGCCAGGATTGAAGTAGGACAAGTTACGCCGTACCTCCTGCGTTGTGACAAGCGGGGGAAGCTTCTGGAGCTTGTTCAGAGCTGCTTGTACTCCCTCCGTATCGTCATAGACGACATCTTGCTTGATGGGTTTCGTAGCCCAAGCTGATAGACACGATTCAGCAGCTGCTCATGCAATTGCTGCTTCTTTGAGGGGTAAATGACTTACAGCTTGGAGTCCAGTCCTCCATGGTGGGGGTTAACGATCGACGCTATTTGCTTCGCAGTGAGTATAAACAAGCTTGTTTAAGCTTCTTGGTATCAGATCAGATGGTGGATTGACTAAGGTATTAAGTCTCGATCCAAAAGAGCCAAGCAGTTAAGAATGACAAATGCAAGCAAGTGATCACTTCCTGTCACAGTCACAGTCACAGTCACACAAAGAATGCCCGCAAAGTGCCTGCAAGGAGGAAAAAAAGAAACATGCGGTTATTCACGGCCTGAGTCATCAACTTATCCTCACTAGTCCAGACTGAGTAAGGCGCCTCGTTATCGTAATCTGCCGCTTTCTTATCGCGTCATCCGTGCGGAGTAAGAGACGCTGTTTGGAGTCTAACAACCGACCGACTCCGTCACATCATCTTACTCTCAACTGATCCTCCATCATATAAATCTATACCCTCAATAGCCGCATTGAAGATGTCAGATTCTCTCCCCTCCGCATCCCATGACCCCGACTCTATCGAGCGACATCCCCCCGCCCACGCCGAAGACCGAAAAGCCGCCGCGGCGCTTTCCTCCCTGCACACCAATGACATCGGCGCGGAACCAGGCAATAAGTCTTCGTCCGCTGATCAGGAGGCACTGGGGAAAGCGATGAGCAGGTTGGAGATTGCGGCGGGTACGGATGCGGCGGCCAAGACGGTAGACGCCAAGAAGACAGAAGTAGTGACGAAGAAGGCTGTGAAGGTTTCGGCGGAGGATGTGAATTTATTAGTGCGTTACCCTTGCCTTTCATAGAACCTTATGCTGGGGGATTGGGTGTATGGCGGTGCTAATGTCCTGCAGGTACAGGAGTTGGACTTGAGTAAGATCAAGGCGACGGAGTTGCTGAAGGCGCACGATGGTGATGCGAGGAAAGCAATCAGGGCCTTCATTAGCCCTGTTGGAGCGTGACGTGCTGATCCTGGCTATAATTGCAGAGCAAAAGCTATGATGTTAGTGATGATGAGATGAATCCGGGCATTGTCAACATCGAGCCGGGAGGAACCTTGGTTCGCAGGTGTTGATCTCAGCAGTCTATATAATGACAATCCCTTTAACGAATTGATGATCACAAAATTAGCTATCTCTCTTTCATCTCTATCAACAATCGGTATAGACATATCTATCATAATTCGTGTCTCATAGTCGACTATATATCGAACGCCATTATCACTTGTATCCATCAGATGAGCCCAGCACAAGCCTTAGAAAATACCTCAATCTTCCTGAACGTCTTCTCTCTGTTCTTTCTTTCTCTCGATCCCCTTTCCCTCATATATAGTCCACAGCAGCAACCACCCAATCAAGGCTTCCAACGCCAGTGCCCACCAGATACCACCGACAAGGTTATTTTGCAACCCCAGCCCCAGCCCCCATCCACCGATGAAGGGACCCAATGTGCGCGCCGCACTGGCTATACTCTGAGCAACGCCATGCACCGTCCCGAGAATCGACGGATCAGTAGCACAATTATTCACGAGAATAATCGCAGCAGGAAGAGCAAACGTTCGAGAAATGACCTGTAGCCCAACCACAGCTGTGAAGGCAGGCCAGACTAGCCATGGATACCGGGGGATGATCACCAGGAACGGCATAAGAGAATATGCCAGCGGTGAAAACGGCAAGAAGGCGCGGAAAGAGGTCAAGGTCCCCAGACGAGATTGGACCTGAGGGTATACGAAGATCTGCAACGGGAGGCCGATGACCCCGATAATTGCCGTTGCAAGGCCAACGCGCGAGGACGGTAGTCCCAGCCCCCCGCTGAAATGGAAGAAGCCTTTCCGGCTATTCTCTGGAGCCCTCGGGGTAGGGAGGAAGACAAATGTCATGGCGTTAAAGGCGCTGGTGTGGAACGCCAGAAGAAAATGAACAAGCAATGTCAATAGAACATTGGGGGTCCAGATCTGACGGAAGCCCGGCCGTCCATGGCGAGGAAGCGCTCGCAAGCGGATCGGAGTCGATGGAGCTGATCTGCTGGTCACGCTACCGTCTATACATAGAGACTCGTTGTCCTCGTGGTTCCTCAACCGGCGATAATAACGTGGAACCCGATGTCGAGAGAAGAATCTGGCAAGTGTTCTTCCGACCTGGCGGCCCCAGTCGCTTCGGTACTGTGCAATCTCGTGTGTCTGCGAGGCATGTTAAACTTAATCCGTCCAAGAAATGTGTCCAAAGACCTACCTCATCGAGCCCAAACAAGAGAGCCAAGAAGGCAGCAAAGATGAAGATAGCACTGAGGACATTCGGCAACGCGAACGGCCACCGCTCCATCCACCACACGCCATCCTTCCCACCAAGGAACGACCCAGGCCCAAACAGATGAGGATAGCTGTTGATAGGATCGGCCAACGAGCCCCCGATGATAGGGCCAACAATAACCCCAATATTAAAGCACATCGGAAGCAGCAGAAACGCACGCGACTGATACCTGCACAGTACACCCGTCAGAAGCACTTTCACCCAGGCCCAAACCAAGTGCACTTACTTCTTCTCCTCAATAATTTCCGAAATCATCGTCCGCATCACCCCAACATTACTATTCAGAATCCCCCCGAGAACACGAAACACCACCGCCGCCGCAAACGATCTCGAGAACCCAAACCCAAGACACGAGATACACGTCCCCAGCAACCCAATCAGCAGCACACGCTTCCTCCCCATCCACTCCGCGTCCGCCAACCGGCCCCACCAGACCGCCGTGAGAAACTGCGCAGCGGTAAAGCTGCCCTGCATAATCCCCGCCTGCGCGGAGATGGTCGAGTCCGGCAGCGAAGGGTCGAACGACTTGAGCTGGTAGAAGAGGTACGCCTGGAGCGATGTTTGGGTCAGTGGCTCCGAGAGACGGGCGAAGGTGAGGATGGCGAGTTGGCCCTTTTTGGGGAGGGAGGCCCAAGTCACCGGCTTTTCGTTTGGGGACTCGATGACTACATCGGTGTCTTCTGCGTCGTCGTCATCGTCGTCGCTGTCATCGAAGGATGTGTTTGATGAGTTTCGTCCATGTCCGGTGATTTCGAGTGCGGGTGCGAGTGGAGGGGGTGGAGGATGACTACCGTCGTGTTTCGCCCTTTCTGTGATCTCGTCATCTCTGTCTTCGTCGAGGCAAGTTGACCCGCGCGGGTTAGAGTCTATGTGGTTGACATGGAGTTGGGCATCATCCCCCGGATGATTGGTAGGGGCGGCGTGCATCAATGAAAAATCAAGATAAGAGATGTACTGAGGCCTGATAAGGGGCCGAGAGTTTTCGATTAACAATGATCAAGGTTAGAGAGACATATGAATGCCAACAGTATACGAAGAGTTCCTTTCCTCAGCAGCAGTAGTAAAAAGTAATCTGTGCTGACGAGATTGAGGCTAAGCTCGCGTGACGGGATCTCAAATTTATTTACTTCCTCCGTAGAATCTTATCGATAAGATTGGCCGAATGACGAAGTGCGGAGATACAGATCAAATGCCGATTTAGCCGATCTCGGAGGATGCCTGAGTCCTGAGGACATCATTGCAGCCTGAGGCGTTAGAGAGTGTTCAGAAGATAGAATTGTTGAATGCTTATTATTTGTTTATTATATATTCATAATCCAATCACCAATGTACAGGGTATGGTGTGACAAAAAAGGAAAAGAGAGAAATTGTGTGACAACCACCACCTACCTGCATGCTGCCGACTTACCTGCGAACTGCCTTTCAACCCATTGTCTCCTTTCAAACCTGTCGTCACCTTCCAACCTATTCTGCCCGCGCCCACCGCTTACCCCTTTTGGTAGTTTGACCTGTTTGCACAGAGGCTCCGCGCTTCTTTATCTACTTACATTCCTGTACATACTCCGTACTTTTTCATACTTTCTCTACGCTTAGTATTCTTGCAATACAAGCACCATACCTTTGATATGCAAGGTTCGAATGTCATAAATTGTGCCTATGAACCACCAAGAAAGCCTAACACCTTGCATGCAAAACTTCGTTCACCAATGAAGGCATTGCTACTATCATGCTATCTACCATATGATTGAGAGCATTTGGTGCTCTCACAGAGAACCACAAATAGAAAAAATCAGTCATCACCATTGCCTAGCGCCATACTCACATTTGTATGGCAAAGGAAAGTCATATTCCTACGATTTTCCATTAATACTAAGATACAAAACAGAAACAATTGACTCCACTTCCAAGTCCGCCATGAACGAATAAATCGTTTCATTGCCCTTCCAATAAGGCCGTCAGCACATCGGCAGGTGTCCGCTTTGGCGCAGCAAGTTCCAGGACTCTCTTGCTGGTTGTCGAAGCGGAGCATTTACCTTCCCACGCCGTCTCTAGGGCGTGTTTCATCGAGAAGATAACATTCTTGGATTGACGAGTGTAATTGCGCTCATAAAGCACATTGATGAATGACGTGTCTTGATAGCTCACCTCCTTGACTTGCGTACCGATGTGCTGCTCGACCATGTCCACAATCTGCTTCCCAGTGATATCCTCGGGTCCATTCAGAACATATTTGGCCTTGTTGTGCGCAGTCGGGTCGTCTTGGGCTAAGAGATGAGCGGCAAGGACACCAACATCATAAGGGTCGATAATCCCGACTGGCGCATCCTTTGATCCCATAAGCCGAAGAGTATCCTGCTGTCCAGTTGTGCGGTATTGTTTAATCAATTCTGCAGCAGGGGAAAGGTAGAATGGCGCAAAGATATTAGGCTGCAGAGAAGTCCACTGCAAGGGGGTGAATTCCGGCGAGCTCAGGAGAGCCTCAATGGCCCAATGCGTGCGAGGATAGTACGCCTTACAATCTGGGCGAATGTTGGCAGCAGTCGTCGAGATCCGCACCACATATTTAACACCGGCGTTGAGGGCGGCAACATAGAATGTCGATTCTTCGGCGAATTGAGTCGGTTCGTTGTGGGATGCAATGAACGCTCGGACGACTTGGTTGTTCACGGAGCCAGTCTGAGGTGATGTCGACCCAGTTCTGCTCAATCACTTTGACTCCAGGGAGTTTAGCAAGCTGCTGTGCTACTGGACTTGCTGAGGAACGAGTCAGAGCAATCACGCGGTGCTCCGACAAAGCATTGCTTGATTTTGATTTAAGCAACTTCGGCAGGGTTTCAGCAACACTGCGGCCAGTGTTACCAGTGGCACCGACAATGAGGATGGTAGGAGCCATGATGGTGACATATAAACCAATATCATTCAAAGCAATTGTATGATAAGATGTGCTGTAACTTTGTTCACCATCGAGGTACTTCCGGTAAACTTATACCCGTGCTCTGCCTTGGTGGAGCACAGTATGCGCGGTCCCCCGATGAGAGATCATAGCGCATTACTTAAGGACGACGCAATTAATAATCATTAGTCAAGGGGACATGATTTGTAAGGTGGGAGGCATCCTAATTTATCCTATGAATAGTTCTTGCGGCCTTTTGTCTCGAACAACATCGCCTTACTTGGCTCGAAACGAAAAATTCTCGAATGTAAACCAGAAGACCAAAAACTGTCGACGAGCTGATTGCGCTGTTGACTGCATGGATGGTGTCCCCAGATAACAATTTGACTTGTACCTTGCCTTTCCTTCGCCTCCACCCAGCCCAGAGGTATTCAATCACCCTCAAACCTCTCTTAGGCATTCAGATGGGAGTGGGAGGCGTGGGCGGCCGGTGGGCGGCCGGTGGGCGGCTTAGATAGGTAATACGTATTACCTAGCAGCCAAGAGCGGGAAGCTGGGCAAGGCCCAAGACCCACTGCAGCAGACTATTTATACAAAGTGGACAAAATAAATTTTAATTATAATATAATTTGCAGAAGGTCTCTATTCTGGCTGGTTTGTACATTCAGTCCGCCATAGACAAAAGATTTTGATTCCTGATTTTGCAGTGTCAACTACAATGTAATGTACCAGAATGCTCATATGAACAAAATCCACAAACACCTGGACAGCTCACACTCCTAGGTTTGGAAATGGTATCTATAGTCTTTTCCGAGTCTTGATATATACGGGGTGCTGGCACGCATGTTTGCTTTTGGACCATGATTTTTTACCACGAGCAGTGTCCGCCATCCACGCGCAAGTCGGCACCGGTCATGAAGCTGCTTCCATCGCCCAGCATGTACAGCACCGGAGCACGGAACTCATCGACGGTGCTCAATCGGAACAGCATGTTGTCACCGACCCATTGGCTCTCCATGCCAGGCTTCTGGAGGGCCTCTGCCGTGGCGGCGGTCCGAATATAACCCGGGGAGAGCGTGTTGACCCGAATCAGCGGCATTCCCTTTTGGGAGCCCCATTCGGCGGCCAAAGAGCGAGCCAGCTGGTGGACCGCCGCCTTGGACGCGTTATAACCAGCAGTATCAACACCCTAGAATATGTTAGTATAATCGTATAATACAGACGAGGCTCAATGCATACCTTGTTGGACACGTATCCACTCATGCTTGCAACCAAAACCATACTGCCAGACGTCCGGGTTCTCGCCATCTCGTTCGCCGTCGCCTGTGCGATCAGGAATGTGCCGGTGACGTTGATATCCAACACGCGGCGGAAGCTCGACGCGGGGAATTCGGTGGCCGGTCCGTTGCGAGACAATCCGGCGCACGCAACCAGGCCCTTGACCGGATACCGCAGCGTCGGGCAAAAGGTGGCAAAGGTCTCCAACACGGCATTTTCGTCGGTGACGTCCAGAGAGTAGTATGAGAGCCGGCCCTGATACTTGCTTGCCGCTTTTTCAACGTCGCCTAATTTGCTTGCCAAGTCGCCCAATTAGCATCCTGCTCGAATGACGATAGGTAAGGGGGAGAAACAGAACTGACCCCAGTTCGAGGCGGTGGGGGTGGCAGCGAGGTCCAGGCAAACGACATCACCGCCGCTCTCGAGAATCGCGATGGCGAGGGTGGTTCCCAGAAATCCAGTGGCACCGGTGACTGAATGGGCTCTGTTGTCAATGATGAATCCAGGGCTGCGAAGGTCGGGTTGGGTCTATTTACTTATGACGGTGCGGTTGTTGAGACGAAAGAGGTCTGCCACGGGGCGGGACGCATCGCCTTGCGACGGCTTCGCCTCTCGAAACTCGAGGGCATGAACGTTGCAATCGCTCTTGGAGCTCATGGTGCACAGTATATGTGGTCGCGGTCTCGTGCGAAAGAATGTGACAGGGGATCAATCAGGGCACCCATATATAAACAGATCCCACCGCGAAGATTGCCGCCATGTTGGCTCTTGTCAAGCCGCATGCATAGGTAGGTTCTCGTGGACCTGGCGGCGAGGCGGCCCGCTCATACAACATTGCATCCTGGAGGGGCAAATAAATGTCAAATGTGGAGGAGATCATGAGATGTGGGGAAAACACGCGTCTGGAGTCTCGAAAGCGGGTTTCCCGGGAGTGGACGACGGCCCGAGACATCCATCCCGTTGAAGCCATGGTCTTGGAGGTTTCTGCCTGAGGTCAGACGGCCCTATGTTGATCCGTAGGGCTGGATGCTAGGGCTAGCCTTGCACCACCTTCTTTCTCTCTCGATAATATCATAACCTTCATTCTTTCCATCCTTCGAGACATGGGTATAGCTCTAACTGCGAAAGAACTGGGTTTTATTTTTGAATGTATTTATTTTTGTTCTATTTTTTGCTTTTGGGAATCATTTCTTGTTATCAAGTATATTTGATTTGATTTGATTTGATTTAATTTTCAATTTTCCTTCTTTTCCCGTTCTTTTCTTTGCTTTTCGGGATACCTACATCACAAAATCTGCGCAAACGCACGTCTAATAGGCGACAAGACAGCAGCTCCCTCGTAGAAAGAGACCGTCGCGACCGCGCGCCTCGCGATACCCTCCGGTGTGAGTTCGAACATCTGGAAGAGCTCATCGCAAGGCCCCGAAGCACCGAAACGGTTGATGCCAAATTGCTGGTGCGCGTACCGGTCCCAGCCCATGGTGGATGCGGCCTCGACCGATAGGATCGGGACTCCATCCGGCAACACCTGGAGTCGGTATGATTCCTCCTGCGAATCAAAGGCTTCGAAGCATGGGATCGACACGACGCGGGCCGGAAGGTTTTGCTTCGACAGCTCCGCGGCGGCTTGGAGGCAGACACTGACCTCCGATCCCGTCGAAACGAGAGTGATGACCGCCTGGGGGTTTTCCAGCACAACATATCCTCCCTTCAGAGCATTCTGAATCGACGATCCCGGCAGCTGAGGCAGGTTTTGCCGAGTGAGAGCGAGAATGCTCGGAGTCTCCTTGGACCCCAGCGCAGCAAGGTAGGCAGCACTAGTCTCATTGCCATCAGCAGGGCGCCAGACCATGCAGTTGGGGAGAGCACGGAAATGGGCGAGCACTTCAATCGGCTGGTGGGTCGGGCCATCTTGGCCAAGAGCGATAGAGTCATGGGTCGCAATGTGAATCACTCGAAGGCGGCTCAATGCAGCTAGGCGGATGGCTCCGGCAGCATATGAGGCAAAATTCAAGAACCCGCCGCCGAGAGGGATGATCAAGCCATATGCCGCGAGGCCGTTCATGATTGCAGCCATTGCGTGCTCGCGAACTCCATAGCGGAGATACCGACCAGACCAGTCGCCAATCCCATACTCAGGAGGCTGGAAATCAACTGCATCCTTCCAGCGAGTGTTATTAGAACTTGTCAGGTCAGCAGAACCAGACAATAATTCAGGCACGAGCTTATGGATTTTCTCAAGGACAGTCTCTGATAGTTTTCGTGACGCGATAGCAGCATCCTTGATAGTATATAAAGGGAGGCCATTCTCCCATCCATCAGCAAGCTTGCCTTCCATTCGTCGAGTCAGCTCCGCATGTTCAGCTGGATATGCTTCCGCATATCTCGCAAGTGTCTCGGTCCATTCCTGCTCTTGAGCCATACCCTCATCAGCATGTTGATGATAGAGGTCATAAACCTGCTGTGGGACCATGAATGTCTGGGCAGGATCAAAGCCAAATAGCTTCTTAACCTGTTCCACATCATCCTTTGTAAGGGGATTGCCATGAACGCCAGCTGTGCCTTGAAGCTTTGAGCCAAAACCAATAGTGGTAGCCACCTTGACAACCGAGGGCTTATCAGTGACATTCAGACACTTCTGGATAGCTGCTTCGATTGCATCCAGATTGGTATCACCATCCGGCACTACTTCCACGTGCCAGCCATAGGATTCGAAACGCTTCTGAACGTCTTCGGTGAAGGTACACTTGATATCTCCATCTGTCGGACGAAGAGAAATTAGGCGATAGCCAATAGCCAATAGCCAATGGCCAATAAAAGGTCTTGTCAAAAGATGGATGGTGCGTGCTTACCGATGGAGATTTTATTATCATCATAGAGGCAGACCAGGTTGCCAAGCCTCAAGTGGCCTGCAAGCGAAGCTGCTTCACTAGCAATACCCTCCATGGCGCAGCCATCACCAAAGAAGCAGAAAGTGCGATTATTGATCAGGTTGTACCCAGGCTTATTGAAGACGCTGGCAAGGTGTGCTTGCGCAATCGCAAGACCTACGGCGTTCGCAAAGCCTTGGCCCAATGGACCTGTCGTCACTTCGATGCCGGGGGTTGCATGAGACTCCGGGTGACCAGGGGTGATACTGTGTAGTTGCTGGTGGAGAAACATCTGTCAGCATCGCTTTTTTGTATGGTTTTCTTTCCCCGGGAAGACTATACCCTGAAGTTTCTCAAATCGGCCATACTCAGGTTATACCCGAACAAATGGAGGAGGGCGTATTGAAGCATGCATGCATGGCCGTTACTGAACATGTGATGTCAATCAAATCAATCAGTTACCAGCAGAGGGAATATATGAGCCTACGAGAGAACAAAGCGATCGCGGTTCACCCAGTGAGGATTTTTGGGGTTGAAGGACATGAACCTGGTAAAGAGAATGTGGGCCGCAGGTGCCATGCCCATTGGGGCTCCAGGGTGACCTGAGTTGGCATGAAAGGTCGCATCGACCTACAAAGCGTAAGCGGGGAATTCTTCTCCAGAACGAGAGGATATCAAGATCGATATACGTACCGCTAGGGTGCGGATCGTGTTGATCGTGAGCCAGTCCTCCTCGGAATTACCCATAGTGGAATGCTGATGAGAATGGAGGCTGATGATTTCCTGAACAGTGGGCAAGGTCTGCAAGTCGGCCACGGTTTTATTTATATCGTCAAGTTGGTGCAAAATGTAGCACTCTCTGAGGATTGATATCTGGCAACCTTGGATTCTTTACCTACTTGATTCAGTCGCGCTGTTTACAACTGGGCTCGTCAGCTGTGGATAACTGCGTCCAAACACACCGGGACGCAGTCAAATCGAGCTTCCCCGGAAGGGGTAAAAGTGACAGCGCGGACGCGGCCCGCCTCGGTCGGTATTCAATAATTCGAGATGATCCCGGGGAATGGGCAAGTCCGACGGGCGGAAATAACACCGGGGCGGAACCCCACGCTGTATCCCGCCATGAGTACGGAGTAGCGCTCATGGCGGGCCGCTTTCCGCTTTATGTCCCGCATAGACCCAACGGAGAGCTCAACATGTCACCACAGTACATCATCATCCTCCCTCTTCTCTTTTGCAATAGAACAGACCGAGGGCCCCATTGATGCTGTCAGCAGGGTACCACCCCACTTCGACAAGTGAAGGCGGGAAAGATGAAAATCGTGGCGAAGGGTCAAAGGGATCCGAAGGCGGGACGAAACAATTATATAAAAGGGCGAGGTCCAGCGCGATCCATTGTCGATTCTAACCTGCTTCTCTATTTTTCGTGAAATTTGGCACATCTCCAACATGACGAATGCTCCGATGAGACCCCTCGAGGGTAAACTGGCCATTGTCACTGGCGCCTCCCGTGGTGAGTCGCCATCTCACCGTTTCAATTGACAAATGCCGGCTATGTTCAATCGCTAACAGCTTTTGTACGGGCGGAGTGAGCATGTTCGCTTTACTGATCTGCCTGGCGGCCGGCATCCGCCCGATCATCACATCTTCCTCAGACAAGAAACTTCGCAAGGCAATTTCCGTGGGCGAGCCCGGAGCGGTGGACACAATCAATTACCAATCCCATCCTCAGTGGAATGATGAGGCGCTTCGTCTGACAAAAGGACGGGGTGTTGATGTGGTGGTTGAAAATGTGGGCCCTACAACGATAGCCCAGAGTCTTTCATCCCTTGCTCGGAGAGGTACTGTCTCCCTCGTCGGGTTCTTGGGAGGATTCAATGTGGATTGCTTCCCTGATACAATTGGCCCCGTGCTGCTCAAAAGTGCCACCATAAGGTACCCCTCGGTCCATACTCGGTCCAAATTGTGCTGAGAATGCTAACATTGCTATTCTGTTCAGAGGGATTGCTGTGGGCTCAAAGATTGATCAACAAAACCTGTGCAACTTTCTATCAGAAAGGAAAGTTGCGTTGAAGCCTATTCTAGATGAGGCGATTTTCTCTTTTAAAGACTCACAGGCTGCTTTTGATCACCTGTATGCCGGCGGACATACGGGTAAGGTCGTGATAAAAATATGAGGGCTAGGGCTTTTCTTTCTGTTTAGGCTTAGTTCGTCCCACAATGTACCACCCCACTGCGCTTACCAACTCAAATCTAGATTCCACCCATCCACAGATCCCACGGCACTTTCTAACCCACCAGCATCTCCACCAAGGCCTTAAATTCAAATATCTTAATATATCTTCCTTTCCTATACGGAGTACATACTTTTCTCTTTCTTCTTCATGCTTAGTATTTTCATGAAAATACTACCATACCTTTGATATGCTGAGTGATCATCATAGAGAATGCCTGAGACCCGAGGCCATCATTGCAGCCTGAGGTGTTAGAGAGTGTTCGGAAGATAGAATTGTTGAATGCTTATTATTTGTTTATTGGTATATTCATAATCCAATCACCAATGTACAGGGTGTGGCGCGACAAAAACGGAAAAGAGAGAAATTGTGCCCATGAACCACCAAGAAAGCCTAACGCCTTGCATGAATCATCAATTGATCAGTGGGCTGCCAACCTTGGGCTTAAAAGCAAGACTCTTTCGTCTCGCAGCTTCCAGCTTGAATCGTAGTTTTTGAGTAGGCTCATCATCGACCGATGACGAAGTTGAAAAGAGACCCTGTCGAATTTGCTTTGGCGGGCACGTCTGTTGGACGAGCCTGGATCTTTGAGAAAGATAGAATGGAGTGGCAGGGGACATTCCGATGTTGTCCATCCTGCTGAAATCGTATCCAGATGTGTCTGGGGACTTTGGTGTTTGGCAATATCGCTGATCAGCCTCGGTATGGGTTACGGTGTACTTTCTGTTGCTCTCCGGAGTCGAAGGCTCTCCCTGCGAAAGTGGAGGGGTCTGTCTCATGAAATCATCCATGGTGTTAAAGTCGGCCCCAGAGCGTCTGCCGGATGCAGATGCTGACGCGGTGTTGTCCGCTTTGATCAGAGTTCCGTTGACGTTGCTCAAGGCCCGAGGTTCCATGCTCTTTCTGCGTTTGGCACCACCACGGGGGATGATGGAGCTATCGACTGCGTAGTGGGTTTCATCAAGCCATTTGTTCTCTCGCTCGCAACTGGAGTCCCATGTCAGCATAACATAACCCGAGCAAATAAGAACAAGGTTGCTTACTCAAGAACCCAGCCGACACCGACACACTTGACGAGGCCAGCCGCTTGTCTGACCTTTTCCAGGGTTCTCACTCCTCCATCCTTGAACACAACGTGGGTAATTCCCACCTTGCTGTCTCTGCGGTTTGTCATATCGGCTGACGACATGCTTGCACGAGGATTCCATCCCCAACTCTTGACGCATCGAGCTCCCATCTGCTGCAGAAGTTCAATGAATATACCGCTGGCATCTTCTCCCTCAGTCGTATGGACATCCACATATACAACCGCTCCTCCAAGAACATTTTCACATGCAGCGATGTTTCTGCGAGGAGTCTTTGAGGGGCTGGGAGATGCTGAAGGCGCCACGGAACGCCTGCGCGACTGGCTGCTAACGCTCTTTCGCCTGGAGTCACCTTTTTGAGATCTAGGAGTTTCGTTATGTTGGAGTTTGGGCATCTTGCGAGGAGAGGTTTGTGCCGTACTCTGCTCCTGGGGAGCAAAGACAGGCTTTCGGAGTCGGGGAGAAGAGCGGACAGGTGAAGTGATTGAAAGCGATCGACCTCTTTTGCGGGACAGTTTCAAGGGTGAAACTTGACCTTCCGGCTTCAGAGGTACTTTGGATACCGTATGGAAGGTTTGTAGAGGGATATTTTTCTGCTTGATGGGTGTGACAGGAGCAGGCAATTCCACTATTTTGTTCTCCTTGTTCTCCTCCGCATTGTCTTCATTCAGAGAGCTGGGCAACACAACTGGGCTCTTGGCGAGATCAGAAGCATGCGCAGGCTGACGGTTCAGGAACTCTTCGTACGCAGTCGGCTCAGCGAACTCGGGTTGCGGCTCGCTGAACAACTCGGTCATAGGCTCTCTCTGGGGAGATGATGTCGCCACAGCATCAGCATGAGACTCGTCCAATTCTTGGTCATCCTGGTCCTCGTAGATTTCTGGAACACCAGCGTAGATCTCGCTGTCGCGAGGATGATCCGAAGCTTGATTCCAAGGGGATACAAGACGATCCTCGATGTCAGGGTAGGCCACTTCTTGAGCAATACGAGACCCACGACGAGAAGACCTTCTAAGTCCTCCGATGGAGAACACACCTCGCCCGGGGCGTTTTGGCTGGGCCTTCTCGGGGCTGCTAGCTTTCCATTGGCTGAGCTGCTCTGCCAAAAGCGTGAACCGAGGACGCTTTTGCTGCATCAGAGATCCGCTTTCCGGATAGTGATTGGAAACTGCCGCGGAGGTAGATGATTCGGGCCGGTCATTATGCTCGAATGAATAACTTTGAATATCCGTGGTGAACTCGGACTCAGACACATCCTCTTCTTCCTGGTAATCCATATTACCATGGTAGGCAATAGCATCATGAGTTGTCGAGACTTGTGATAGAAGGGAACGATCCTGGCCATGAATGGGGCTATTTACTCGTTCCAGTCCCTGCTGAGCATCTAGCTGAGGGTCTGATTGTGCATTCGGTTGTGCATCAGGCTGGACGTCATAGATATAGTGGTCCGTGGTATAAAATGCAACGAGTGTCGCCTCGTTATCATCAAAGAATTCGCTATCGTGGAAATCAACATACTCATCGTGGAGCTCATCAGGTTGAACGTCGCCTTTAAGTGCGGCACTTGCCATAGTCTCCGCGACGGGGTCAGTGTCCGATTCACCGTCGACGCCTTCATCAGCGACCGCGGCATCAGTGAAAACATCTTCAAGCCCCCCAAGCGAGTGTCGCTGAAAGGGCAGGCTTGACTCCTCTGTCATAGCTTGAACCTCTCGGCCGTATGCGTCCTGAATCATGTGCTCTTCCTCTGGTTCTGACTCGGTTGCGTCCGGATCCTCTGCTTCATCATAATCAGACGCAAGGCCGATTTGCTCGGCGTGGGTATCCATGTTGCTAACAGAGGCGGCATGGCCGACTGTGCTTTCCTCCGCCGGATGACCATCGTTCTCATCAATCTCAGAACCCTCTTCACTGTGGTTGTCGTCTAGCACTCGAGGTTCCTCCTCGGCAAGGCTCTCGGCGTGATACTCCGCAGCTTCTGCGTCAAAAGCTACATCGCCAGGCTCTTCGCAATCGACTTCAGGATCTTCGTCGACCAACTCGTAAGCTCGAAGATTCTCGGCACTCTCCCGACGAGCATCTTCTACATGATCGTCAAGTGAGTCACCGGCCCACTTGTCGACGACATCATCATGATCGGACAGCTGTTCTCGAGTGTTCTCGACATCATCTGGAGCTATTGATTCTGTTTGCTGGTCGTCATTCATGTTATGAGAATCAACACAGTGCGCTGGAGATACCACGACATGATGCTCCTCGGACGATTCTTGTTCCATCTCGTCGTCTTGATCCATTCCTTCGTCACCATAATCGACTTCAATCCGCCCTTCAGGTTCAGGAGTCCTGAGAGACGATTCAACATGTTCAACATCGTCCGCATCATTGGCCTCGTCGGCAGCGGTAACATGATCCCTCCTGCTTTCATTTTGATGCAATTCTGGCATTGAACGGACACTCGAGAAGAGAGAGTTTTTGAACGGAGAAGCAATTCTCTTTGCAGGGCTTTGGAGCAACAGCGACCGGGACTTGAACGGCGTCGATGATTCCTGCAAGGGAGCCTGTGTGAAAGATACACCAAAGATGCCTTTCTTAGGGGACGATTTGAGGGGTGAATTGTGTCCTGGGGTGAAATTCGGCTGTGATAATGGCATGATTTCCTCGCGGAGACCCAAGCCTCCGTGTCTGGGTGTCTCCAAGTGGGCCTTCTTTGGAGACGCTTTGAGTGGTGAATTTTGAGTTGGCGTCAAGCTCGGCTGGGCAATCGATTTCTCGTTACCTCTAAAGGACAAGCGAGCTCGTCTCGGTGTCTCCTTGACGGTGTAGTGGAAGGGAGAAGGGGTGGGTCGCCGGGCAGGACTGGACATAAAGAGCGAGTCACTAAAGTCGATAGCCTTCGTAGGTTGAAGGGTGGGCTCGCCATTTTCGTCCACCGACTGGTTGAATTTTCTTGGGGTGAAGTTGATTTTTCGCACAGGAGAGCTCAACCCAGTAGTTTCTGATCCTTGTTTGAGGGGCGAATTTATGACGAGCTTTATTTGGTCCTTGACGCTGCTGAGTTCATCATCCTCTCCGTCTGAGCTGACATATGAGGAAATCGATTTGGCAACTTGGTTGGCTTTCTTGGGTGAGAGAGGCTTATTGGCTTCCTTCTTGGAAACCGCAGGTTTGCGACCCCGGACAGTAGTTGTAGCAGGCTTGCGAACTGGTTTGGCTCCCAGACCAACCTTGCCTGATGCTGTAGTTGCTGCTCGTCGTCTTCCAGTCGTAGCAGGAGCGGGTTCGATGGCATCCTCGTCTTCGGAATCGGACACATCCTTGAATGTGACGGTTTTCTTCTTAGCTGGTCCACGGAGCAGGTTTGACCTCATGGCCGTGGAGTTCGTCGTGATGACTGCATGTTTGGAACCGCTCCTCGATGCTTCGGCCGCGCCCGTCTGTGCTCGAGTCTTCTTCTTTGTACTGTTTTTATCGGCAGCTGTAGTGGCAGCAGGCTTTGTCGCGGCAGTTGCCCTCGGTCGGCCTCTCGGTCTAGGTGCTGTCTCGGGTTTTACTTCGTCCTCCTTTGGCAGCGGCTTTGTCCTTGGTCGTCCAGGTCGCTTCTTGGGGGCATCGGTCTGCGCCAGCTCGTCCTCATCGTTGTCGCTCTCACACTCCGCAGCTGCAGGAGTCGCGGGTCTTCTCCCCCGACCTGTAGCGCTTGTAGAAGAAGTTGAGCTCTTCCCTTTGGGTCTGCCTAGTTTCGCTTTCTCTTTCGTATCTATGACTCCCAGTTCGTCGTCCGTAGCCTCCTCCGTGTCAGAGTCCGGCTGTTTACTGCTCACACTTGTCGCCGTTGCAGTTCTCGTAGTTCTTTTTCTGGTTTCTGTTGCAGAAGTTCCTGTCTTTGTCCTTGCAGTCCTCGCGACCGGTTTGCTTGCTGCGGTGACACCTGCGGCTTTAACGGTGCTGGCTGGGGGACGGCCACGGGTGGTCCGTTTTGGGGATGACTTTGGAATGATAGCTGCTCGAGCCATTATGATTCAATTCCAAAGAAATTATGCACCCAAAGGATTCGTATCTCAGGAGATGGTACGATTGTTGCGGTTTTTCCTGTTGTTAGTAACGAAGATAGGTCGGTGTTGACAAGCCCGCTGCGCTCATCATGAGCTGAACCTCGCACGAAGTGGATGTCAGATTCAATTAGCCACAAAGGCGCAAATTAAAACGCTTCAAAGCAGGGGGCTTTTGCTGTGGCTATCAAGTAGACCTAGCTCGTTGATTAGATATGTGTTGTTGACTTCCAGCTGTTGGGCCGCCCGCTAGAGCTTCGGCGTTTGTGCTTAGGTTTCTTGTTTGAGAAATCACGTGGATGTTGTCATAGCAACACGGGGAACCCCACAGGCACGTGACAGCTTGCCGCCTGTATCATGATCTAGAGAAATTTACTGCGCCTGAAGAGATATCATTCCATGGGCCGATATGGGAAAAAAATGATATTTTTCTTTTGCATAGCTATATACTGGAGGGATCCAAAGCGAAAAATGGATAGATGTGAGCGACAATATTGCTCCTTGAACTTTCCAAATGGAATAACATGGCTTTTGCCAAAAGTTTGTGACACGGATAGATATAGCTGAGACAGCAGTAGATCCAGGGAAAGATAGGCATCCCGCAAAACTCTCCAACATATTTTACAGAATTGTCCAAGCGGCAACAGCAGCAGCCATTGCGGTAGTGAGGATACTTGGGATGATCCCAGAGGCTGCACTATCCAGGATTGTGACCGGTTCGTAACCCGCAGGAGTGGTGCTGTTGGTAGAGCCATCCCAGCAATACTTCTGGAAACATTGTGTGCAGATTTCTGGGACGTTGGTGTTGGTGCGTTCGAGGGAGCGACTCAAGATAGCACAGCCAACACAGGTTGACCAGTTGCCATCACGAGTGCTGTTACCCATTGTCACCACATCATATCCGTTGAGAATGGTAGAATCTCGCTCCTCTTCTGTGTAGTCTGGCTGGAAAGTAGAAAAGTTGGAGTAAGCCACGTAGGGGTAATTTGGGAGATATACGATCAAGGGCGACGGGCCAGTTGTGTTTGAGCTGTTGCATCCGAAGAACGTGGGTCGAGTGTTCAAGCCTTTGTTGACGAAGGTGTTCTGATCGGGAATCGCAGGGAAGGAAGTACCATTAGCGATCCCTGAGGAGTTCAGGCTACGCTCATAAGTAGCAACAAGGGCAGTACCGTTGGGCCAGCTGTAGGTGGTATCGGCGGAGGAATCAACGGCGAAAATGACATCAACATGTCGCTCTGGCTGGATCAATGGGTGCAGCGGGATGTTTTGCAAATCTTCACCACCGTCCACCAAGTCCAGTTCCAATTGATCGGCATTCGGTGAGGTGTTGTTAGAATAGTGGTAGAATGGGTTGGGTGCGTAAAGAGCGATATCCTCATCATTTTCGCCAATGTCCGTCAGGATGTTGGTGAAGATGGATTTCAGCCAACCGGGCAAAGCCGTAGAGTTAATCTGAAGAAGGAATTGATTGAAGAGGGTAGAGGATGTACCCATGACGAAGCCAGCATTGTCAAAGCCGCGCACACAGCTTTCATTACTCGGGACTGATCCTCCATTGAATTTGGTGCCTAGATACTCAAGAGGGGCGAATCCAAAAACTGTGGGGTCAAAAGTTCCAAATTCCCAAGGGTTAAATTCATAGACGGTGGCATTGCTGCTGATAAGAAGTTCTCCGGGGTAGCGACCATCTGCAACAACTACAGGCATTGGCATCTCTGCCTGCTGAAACGTGTCGGTCAGCGCGATGGACGACCATGTATAGCTTGGACCACCGTTGGTTGCATTGATCAGCTGGTAGGATAAAGCACGGCCCCTGTGAGATCGTCAGGATGCTATGTAGCGACAAAGAAAATCGAAGGCTAACAGTACCAGTAGTCAGTGATTGAAGTCGGGTAGCCTGCATCCGACTTTCCGGACACCGCACTGCTGATGTCCTTATAATAGGATGCTGAATCCAGAATCTGAATACTACCCCCATCGGGGCCTTCGAAGATTGAATTTTGAAATTGCCAAACAGTGCCCTTTTGGTGTGTCTGCAGCGCAGAGATGGTAGTAAAGTTGTTGATGTAGATTGAGCCAACCAGCCATGATCCACCACTCAGGCCAGCCAGATAGGTGGCTGACTGCAGCAATCCACCCAACTGACCGGCGCTCGTAGAATTCGGTGTACGACTATCAAAGGCCTTGATTGCACCCGCGCCGTTCATCAACGCTCGATAGCCTCCACCGGAGACTGCGATGCCGATATTGGGAAGATCCGACGAGTTACTGGAATGGCGGTCAATGTACCCCGCCGCGTCGAAGTCTTGAATCTTGACATGATTGAAAAAGTCCTTCATCGCAGAAGTAGTCTTGCCTCGACGCGTCTCCAGCCATGACGTCTCATTGGGCGACAACTTTGCGGCACTGCGAATGGTAGGGCGACTGGCAGGACAACCGACCGTACTGGGTGTGTATCCATCGGGGGCATTGGGCAGAGCACGCTGTAGGATTTCACCATGAAAGGGTTCTGGAGCACCAGTCACGCCTATTGAAGTTCGATGGCATTAGTTCAAGTTTTGCAGGCAAATATGTAGTAAGCCCTGCATTTGAGAATTTGAGCCACACTTTAATTCACCTACCAGACAATAATAAACTGGCGACAGCGCACGCGACTGTTGTGGTCTTCATCTTAGGAATCGTAGGAGGCCGCCTCACGCTATAATCCGCGTGAAGATTCAGCTAGAGAGGAAAATAAGATCAAATGTCGCTCTCTCTACCCAACCCCCAATGTGAGGCAGCCATCATTCGGTATTTGAATAAAATGGGGCGTGTTCCTTAGCCAGGGGTCCTCATCTTGGGCCGGTGGATCAGGAGAAAGGCCAAGCATGCCAAAGTCTTGGGAGATTGGAACAATGTGATTTAGTCTCATCCCTCGCGAAGGATAGGTGATTGTCATTGGAGCGTTCGTAGTTTGAACCGAGGACAACAAATCAGTCTCGCTGAATGAGCTGAAAAAGCATGAACGATGATGATGTCAAAGCTTGACCGATCATCCGGCCATTCCGCTAGTCTAGGCTGAAAAGGGCCAAAAAGGTGCATTGTAAATTAGCCCGTCTCTCAGCTGAGTCGTGTTGGCTTGTGAACAACCAAGATATTGTTTGTTCTGCAAAGATTATCATGCTGTCAGTTCATCTGAATGTTGGGCTTAGTAGAAGGTAAGGTTCAGCTTCTGACTGCCTTGATATTTTGAGTTTTCTCAGCTATAGCTATATGACAGCGTCTGCTTGCCAGCCTTGGGAGCATGCATAAGCTAGTATTATTTATTCAAGGTAGTTTTATGTAATGAACCAAGACTCGGTAAAGCCGGTACAACAATCTCTAGACTGTTTGTGATCACATATTCTAAAAATGGGACTACGTAGTATTCCGGTTTCCACTCGCGGGGATCGGATTGGTTCGATCTTCTTCTGAATCTCAGCTGGTGTTATCGATGTGAATTAGACTACGGAGTAGGGTCATGGAAGTGTAGGAGTTAGAACCAAGTCCACTTCCGCCAAGCTTCGAACTACTGCGCCACGATTGTGGGCAATGGACTTGAAGATGAGGCCCTGTGTCATTCAACTTCCTCTAGATATGACAACAGGATGCAGACAGACACTGTCACTGATGTTGCTAAGAGGTGCTTTGTTATCATTTAATCACATACCTATCTCATGTTCCTTTTGTTCCTTGGAGCGGGCGAATGATATATAAACATGAAGCTGAATCTACTGTCACTCAAGCTTGTTCTTATATCTACCTAGGTAGTGTTCAATCGACTTTCTATCCACTCATCCTCAATCTATTGGAACATAAGTGCCACTCTATCAATACATTCACTAACTTCGATCTGACCCTCAAATCTAGACTTCGCACCTATCTTCCAATTTAACTCTGAATCTATTGTTAAAGCTGTCCTCGAATCTAGAGGCAAATCCAACTGGCATCTATTCTCACTCTGGTCTGCACAAATCAGATATTACCGTATCCATCTTCAACCTGCCTGAGTGCAACGTTCTATCCTCGGACTTGAGAACTTGTCATTTAGTCTCTCTTTGCATGCTTATTGGATCTGGCATCATATCTATAATTAAATCTAACCCCCTGAATTTGTTTAAAATTAGAACATTTCCTTAAATCAAGAAGAGCTTGAGATGGATACAATGGAACGAAGACCAGTTCCCCGGCATCCCTAAGATTGACGACCCCTACAAGAAACGTCAGTGGCCTACAAGATCTAAAAGTTCGACGGTAATGGGACGTTGAGGATACCTGATTGATATTCTTCAAAGAAAATACTACCTACTGGTAAGGATTATCCTCTGTAAACTTCGGCTCCCACAGCCCCTTGCTCTCCTTCGCCTTCAACTGCAACCCCTTCAAGAGCCCATAAATCGCCCGCAACGTCGGCATGGGCACACCACGGGCCTCACCCTCCCGCAACGGCTCACCCACAATATTTTCCACCTCCAGGAGATTCCCCTTCTCAACATCCTGACACATCGACGGCTTGAACTCCGTATCGACCGGATCCGCTCGAATCACCGACTCCTCCAGTTTCTCGGGAAACCCCGTCACTCCGCACGCCGTCGCCGCCGCGATAATCTCCAGTATAATCGGACGCACCAGGTCATCAATGACGTGGCGGCTCATGCGCATCCGCGGCGTGTCCATGCGCAGCACCGTCGCGACGGGGTTAAACGAGGCGTTGTAGACGAGTTTGCGCCACCGGACGCGGCGGACGTCCGCGTCGAACGAGACGTCTAGTTTCCCGTGTGGATTGTAGACGGCGATGTAGCGCTTTGCTGCGTCTTCGGCGACCTTGTCGGAAATGTTGGGGTTAGTGAAGGGCCCGATTTTTTGGACATCCGGGTCATCGTGAAGGATCTTGCCGGGGGATTTTTCGGTCGCGCCAACGTAGGAGACGCTACTGATGATGGGGTTGGTTGGGAAGCGGGCCACGACTCCGGTTTCGATGTTGAGTCCGTTTTGGGACAGGATGATGGCTGTTTTGTTGGGCGTGACGGCGGGTTCGATGATGTCTGCGACTGTGGGGGAGACGTCGGGGATGTTTTTTGTGGTGACGAGGACGAAGTCGAAGGGGGCGAGGCCTTCGGCTGCGACGTCCGGGACGTTTTTGCGGACTATGTCGTTGATGTTAGCTTTACTCACTTGCGCGCATTTTTAGATACTTTCTGCAGAGGGATTACTTTGTGTTGGGCGCCATCCTCGGATGTCATTGCCATACTGTATCGAGTCGATGTCAATGCCGTGCTTTGCTACCGCATCGTAGTTTGATCGCATGACAGCAGTTACTTCGGCTTTGCCTCCCTGCTCGAGGGCATAGGCAGACATGGTACCGACACCACCGGTGCCGACAATGAGGACTCTGGCTTTCTCGTGTGCCATTCGGACAACAGTATGAAGGCGGAGTTTGGGAAAGAGAGCAAAGGGAGAAGAATAACGGACGTCCAGCCTTGGGCGTGAAGATAGCTTTGGGGCCTTAAACAACAGGGTAAGCCTCATGTGAAGTTCAACAGAAGGCAATTCCCAATTGAGGGATGGGATTGAGCTGATGGCTGGTATTTACGCCGAGAATTGCATTCTTATTCGACGGGACTAGACAGCTCAGATCAACGAGAGCAGGGTACGCCGGCAATTACCAGGTAGTTCTAAGATAGGCAGTGCACAAGAGGAAGTCCATAGCGAGAACGAGGCCATAAATCTGCCAAATCTACCAAATATCCCGGAGTTGATAGCGTGTGTCAGAAAAAGGTCAATGTTGGATGGAAAACAGAACGGGAAACCAACGGCGTAGATAAGAGTTAAAGTGGAATGAATATCTTCCCATAAGTCAGAAGATGTAAGCTTCACCACACTAAAAAAGCTAAATGAAAGACCGCTGATAAGACCCTAACCTTGTCATGGAACTGATTTACAGGGCGGGGTGGGCAGTAATAGATATATCCTACAGTAGCTACAGGTCAGGCTATCAGCTATCTACAGGTGCAAGGAGTATCCCCGGTGTGGATCACGTGAGTGATAAGGGGCTGGCCAATGCCTCAGGCAACATAAGGGTCGGCACCACAAGGTCCACGACAAACTCAACATCATTATGCAAAAGGAAAAACAAACAGATAGCTATTCTACAATTGAGCCACGAATCCCGCATTCAAAGCTTTCACCACCTCCGCAGCAGCCCGCTCACCACTGCGGATAGCCCCCTCCATGTACCCCTTCCACTCCCCTGCAGTTTCTGTGCCCGCAAAATGCAGGTTTCCCCAAAGTTCCTGCAAACTGTCACTGCCCAGAGTGTCGAGTACACCAGGCGTAAGCGAGGTACACGGGCAACCCCAGCCGGAGAACTCGTCTTCGCTCCACTCATACATCGTCATCTGTACGAATTCGTCGTCGAGGTTCTTCACGCCAAAGAGCTTGCCCAGCTGCTCCAAGAGGCGGATCTCACGCTCCCTGGTGGGCAATGTTGCTCACGTGCGACCGGGGTCGCCGGACATGAAGCAGGTCAGGACGAACTTTCGATCTGCGGGGCTGCAACTGTCTCGGACGACACTGGCAGGGCCAATGAAGGACTGCGCAAGGCCGCAGAACCCCTTCTTCACCCAGAACGGGAGCGGAATTCCATCATCGCCTTCGTATAGTAGCCGTAGGTGGTCGATTCAATCCATGTCTGCTTGACAGGGGGCAGTCTGGGGTAGAAGGTAATGTTCTTCAGGGCAGGAGTGGAAACGGTCGTGATGGCCTTGCGGCCAGAGTAAACAAGGCCACCGGCTTGGACACTGATCGAGGCACCGCCGTTCTGCACCACGCTCTGGACAGGGCTCGACAGACGGACGACACCTTCGGGGAGTGAGGAAGCGAGGCCCAGGGCAAAAACTTGTGTGCCCTGTCGAATGCGCAGATACTGCCCGCCGTCCTTGCGGTCGGAGCGCATTTGTAATAGACCACCGCCTGATTTGCAGTAGTTCAGGAAATAAAGCGCCGAGATGTCGTTGGGATCTTGACCGAGCATGGCACGTGTCCATACGGTGGCAGTGACCAGGGCCGCATCACTGGCGCCGCGCGATCGCAGATAGGCTTCGAAGGTAAGGGAGTCAAGCGTTGTGTCCTTGGGCTTCCAGGTATCGAGGGCCTGGCAATCAGCCTCGCACATATCCCGGATATAGGCGACATTCTCGCGAGTCGCACTGTCGAACTGTATTGTATGTCAGCACGCTGGTAATTTCACTTTCGCATCACACGTGGGATGATTGCACTTACGGAAGGGAGTTCCCCGTACGCGAAAGGAGAGCAGTGGCCGTTGACGTCCTCGAGGACCGCATTCCCCTGAGTGTTCTGCTCAATGACCTCCGCACCATATCGCTTGGCCAGGGCGTAGACCTTGCTCTGGTTGGTATCGTTGATCCACGCAGCACCGAGATCGACCATGCCCTTGCCGTCTTTCAGTGGGATGCTCCATGTCTTGCCTCCCACACGATCGCGTGCTTCCAATACGATGCAGGAGAGGCCCGCCCGCAGCACATCATGAGCTGCAGATAGACCAGCAAGTCCTGCGCCAATAATGACAACATCGACAGTTTCGCGAGCGGCAGGCAGGGATGGAGGCAGACACGGTTCTGGGACGGCAATGACCGCATCGATCTCAAACAGCCACGACGGAACAGCGAGCTTAGGCACGGGTATGAGAGTAATTGCAGGTCTGTGGCCTCCTAGGAAACGATGAAGATGGCGGGTGTGCTTGCGGTTGGCGGCATCGTAGTTGACGATCAGAAGGTTCAGCTTGACGACATTCTGAACCGAAGAGCCTGCCGCAATGATAACTTTTCGCAGGTTCAGAAGCGCGAGATGGACTTGTGACTCGTAGTCGCTCGGTGTGGTACCGTCCTTTGTACTGCCAGGGAGGCCAGAAACATGGATGAGCTTTCCAACGGGAGCAATTGTCGCCGGCGCATAGTAAGCGTTGGGTGTGTGAGATAGATCAACGGTCTCAACGATCTTCACCATCTTGAAGCAATTGAAGGCCGTGGATGGCGAGAAAAGGTATGGCAAGACGAAGAGAAAATGCTGTGACAACGGCCTGAGAAGGATTAAGGAATGTCTCGTTCCAGATATGTATTTGCAGCCGTCATCCATGGGCGAAACATTGAGGGTGGAATGACCTCTCGGTGGTTCGCTCAGCACTGGCGTCAGCTACCTAATCTGTCTGATATCATCTTCCAAACTATGCGGAGAATCCTAAACTAGGATTAGGATTTAGGATAGCTGCGAGAGATAAGGAATCAGGAAGGCGAGGGCGAGGGGAAAAAGCGTGGAGAATGCGGCAGTTCTGGCCATGTATAGTATAGATATCCTGTGGACCCGGCGGAGGATTCGCTGTCACTTGCCATCTATTCAATCCAGGAGTTCCACGTCCTAGACATCAGTTCTACACTTTTAACAGTCTTGTAAGGGCATAAAGGTATCCATGGACCACAAATCACTTGCCAGAAGCTCATCTGGTGGTATTAACATTTGTGACGACAAGATGGATTCTACCACAACCTGCCAACTAAAAGACCCCTCGCTGCTGATCGGAAAGAACTACATCGATGGGCAATGGATTGAAGCTGCTTCAGGGAAGAGATTCAACGTGACAGGTGTGTCTACACGCAATATACGTCCCGAACGATTCTAATCGCCTCGAACTAGATCCTGCAACCGGCAACGTTATTGGATCCTGCCCAGAGTCCGCAAGCGAAGACGTGGAAACCGCCATTAAGTCTGCAGCTGCAGCGCTTCCAGCATGGCGATCTCGCACCGGGCGTGACCGTGGCCGGATTCTGCGCCGCTGGTTCGAGTTGATCATGGAGAACAAGGACGATTTGGCTACCCTCATCACACTGGAAAATGGAAAGGCCAAGCCTGATGCGACAGGCGAGGTCCTCTTTGCAGCGAGCTTCTTCGAGTGGTTCTCCGAAGAGGCTTCCCGGGTTTATGGGGATGTCATTCCACACAGTCAGCCTAGTTTTAGGGTGTCTGTTTTGAAAGAGCCTGTCGGAGTTTGTGGGTTGATCACACCGTCAGTCCCTCCTGCTTGTCCTCCTGCTTCTATCATCTTTCTAAGGCCTAACATCATATTTCGGTCAGATGGAACTATCCTGCTGCCATGATTACTAGAAAACTCGGTCCCGCACTTGCTGCTGGCTGCACTGTGGTTGTAAAGGCAGCCGGCGAGACCCCGTTTACCGCCAATGCGCTGATCCAGCTTGGTGAAAGAGCTGGTATCCCTGCTGGTGTTGTCAACAGTATAGCCGCGTTGGATAATACACCAGAAATTGGCCAAGCCTTATGTGCTTCCAACACTGTCCGCAAGATCTCCTTTACCGGCTCGACAAGAGTAGGAAAACTTCTTATGCAACAGTCTAGTCATTCATTAAAGAGGCTGAGCCTCGAGCTGGGTGGAAATGCCCCATTCATTGTCTTCGATGATGCTGACCTGGACCTGGCACTGGAAGGTGTCGTCGGCAGCAAGTTCAAGTCTTCAGGACAGACATGCGTGTGCTCGAACCGCATTTTCGTGCAGAGAGGCATTTACCCGGAGTTCCTTCGCAGACTTCAGGATATCGTTCGTGGATTCCAACTTGGGAACGGCTTCGATGATAAGACTACACATGGCCCATTGGTGACTCCGGCGGCGGCAGAAAGAGTTGCCGGTCTCGTGGACGATGCTGTGAGAAGAGGTGCGAAAGTGGAGATTGGAGGCAACAAGAGACCGGACCTTGGTAAGTCATGCTCTTGGAATGAATTCGACTATCTACAATTTCCACTGCTCAGTTACTGCTCCTCTCCCTTACCGATTGATGCTATAGCTGAGAACGAACAACTTTCTTAGGCCCGAACTTCTTCGAGCCGACTATCCTCACAAACGTCAGCGACGACATGCGACTGATGAAGGAGGAGATCTTCGGCCCTGTAGCACCAATACTTGCATTTGACACAGAGGATGACGTCGTCGCCGCTGCGAACAAGTGCGACGTAGGTTTAGCCTCGTATATCTTCACTCGAGACCTCAACCGCGCCCATCGTTTGTCCGAGCTCTTACAGTTTGGCATGGTGGCTGTTAACACTGGTGTTATCTCTGATGCAGCTAGCCCGTGAGTTTTCTCTTTCTCCTTCTCGTTTATTCTGTAGGTGCATACGCTAACAAAGATGCGTTTCCACCAGCTTCGGTGGGATTAAGCACTCAGGTATGGGGCGCGAAGGCAGTAAATATGGCATCGAGGACTATCTTGAGCAGAAGACTGTGGTGACGGGGAACATTAAAGTAGCTCATAAGTCTTACCTGTAAAGACAAAAATGGCGAATTGTAAACTTAGTCCGGTGCGTTTCTCCTATATGGCTGCAGGGTCCGTGAATCCCAAATTCAGGGAAAGGCCTCCTTCTCAAACAGAATGAGAACTAAAATCAAGCGTTGAATTCCATAATGACTAAAGGAAATGCGCATACCAGTGACCCGAAACATCGTGGGGGCCGTTCACATTGCTGGGGGTCCTTCAAGCGGTCAGGTCTAAGTTTCAGACATTTTGGACAGTATCAAAAATCATAAGTCACTGTCACACCGATTAGCCAAGCCACTCTCCATTAAAGGATGCTCATAATACTTATTCTAGCGCTGTCGTTGGTTGAGACACAGGCCTGAACACTATACACAATTGGTCACGCTGTGGAGTTCCCGTTTCGTGGATTTTGATTCCAAAGACAAGACTTGATAAGCGCATCATCCATGGAACATGTCCAATCATGGCCTCATTTGATTTAACCTCGCGCGGTGTATTTACAGTCAAACTCTATGCACGGTCATCCATGATCATAAACTGGGGAAGGGGAGATTGAGAATGGAGATAGGTAAGATAGGTCCTAGTGTCATGTCAGGCACGACAGGGGGAGTAGTAATGGGGCCTCTGATAAGAGTTTGTGCAAGATACAATCCTTCTCCATGCAATTGATTGATTGCCCAGGTCGATTTGGGTGCTTGTATCTTGTATATCTTCCACATACCTCCCCTCCCGCTATCCTACCCTACATCAGACGCTACTTGACGGGGATACATAGCAGCCAACATGTTCACACCGGCCAAAGAAATCCATCCAAGCGAGAAGACGGGTGATACAGCCGCCCTGGGTGCTACTCGGTCTCACTCCGCCTTCGACACCGAAGGAGCCGTCATCGATCTCCCGCGAGCGCAGACTAAACGTGGCATCCAGTCTCGTCATGCGCAGATGATAGCAATTGGCGGTATTATTGGCACCGGCCTATTCGTGGGGACTGGTGAAGCTCTTGCAGTCGCTGGGCCCGCGAACCTCTTCCTTGCCTTTGCCACAATTTGCTTCTTCGTTTACGGAATGGTGACTACTGTAATGACAGTTGGTACCTACCTTCCAGGGGAGGGTACCTCCATGGCCGCTTACGCCTCGCGATACGTTTCTAAAAGCTTAGGCTTTGCCATGGGATGGCTCTACTGGTACTCGTATGGTATCATTGTCGCCTACGAAATCACAGCTGCCGCACTGGTCATCGACTACTGGCCGAACAACATCAACGTGGCCGTCTGGTTGACCATCATGTTAGTCGTCATCCTGGGGTTGAACCTGATGCCAGTCCGCGTATACGCCGAGTCTGAGTTCTGGTTTGCCTCGCTGAAAATTATCATGATTGTTGGGCTGCTCCTCCTGTCCTTCATCCTTGCCGTCGGTGGGGGGCCATCTCATGAACGTCTGGGCTTCCGGTACTGGAATGACCCTGGTCTGATGAACAAGTATTTGGTGGACGGTTCCGCAGGCCGCCTCTGTGCCTTCGTCTACGCTCTCGTCTTCTCCATGTTTTCTTTCGTCTTTGGCCCGGAGCTCGTTGTACTCACCAGTGGAGAGATGCGTTCTCCCCGCAGGAATCTCCCGCGTGCCGCAAACAACTTCATCTGGCGTCTCATCGTGTTCTACGTGCTCAGCGCGCTTGCCATTGGCGTCATCTGCCCCAGCAACGCTTCCGGCCTAACGAACGGCGGTGTCGGCGCAGCAGCCTCCCCCTGGACCATCGCCATTCGAGAAGCCGGCATCACAGTCCTCCCCAGCGTCATCAACGGCGGCATAATCCTCTCCGCCTGGTCATCCGGAAACTCCTACCTCTACATGTCCAGTCGCAGTCTCTACTCGATGGCATGCGAAGGCAGCGCACCCCAGATCTTCAGCCGCACAAACCGCTTCGGTGTCCCCGTCAACGCCGTGCTAGCTAGCAGTCTCTACGCGCTCCTATCCTACCTCAACACCAGCTCGTCCAGTAGCTCCGTCTTCACCTGGCTCATCAACATCACCAACACAGCAGGCTTCATTTCCTGGATCTGCTGCTGCATTATCTTCCTCCGGTTCATGGAGGCATGCAAGGCGCAGGGAATCACCAATCTGCCTTACCAATCCGTTCTACAGCCCTACGCCACCTGGGTCTGTCTCGTCTTTTTCACTCTTCTCTGCCTCGTCAACGGGTTCTCCGTTTTCTTCCCGGGGCACTGCTCTACTCAGACCTTTGTGACTTCCTACGCTGGTATCCCTGCTTTCATCGTGATCTACCTCGTCCATCGGACCGTTCATCGAAACGATCGCTGGGCGTATCGTCCTGAGGAGGTGGATTTGACCACTGGCTTGGAAGAAATCGCCGCTCTTGAGGCCGAGGAGTTTCTCGAGGCCGAGCGGAGTTCCGAAGAAGAAACAAAGAATATATGGCTCAAGAAGATTAGGAAGACACTGGGTTAAGCATCGATTTCCCCTGCCTCGGAACCGGTCCCAGTGGATGAAGGAGTTTCCTTTTAGTTGATCTGATTCTTTTTTCTAGCGGCTTCAGTACCAGTTCCCTTCTATTTACATTCTTGCTTTTAACGATGTCGACACCGCTTGAGTTATATGGATGTCTTTCACCCATAGCCGTGTCAGCATTCCAAGGAACAGTTCAATCAGGAATTTCATATAAATGATACGATCCTTCCCTACGCTCTATCTAGACAGTGATTTCTACTTCCTTGATTCTCCTCGTCACGCCCGACACTTATATATGCGCGATCAGCACATGTTCGAGATCCCGGAGTACTTGGGCCTGGAGCCCGTTAGTCGACCGTCGCGTCATTCCTTTTCTGCATTGGATTGGATGCTGAGTTCACGGGGTTCTTTCATGGCTTGGCCAATATGGATATGGCAGGGCATAGCGAGGGCCCGTCTCTGTCAGATAAGGTTGATTTCTTGCCAATAGGCTCATAGCCGAAATACGATGTGATGGATGAACAGAAAGATAGGCTTGCATCCATTGCCGGCTACTTCCAAGGCTGCAGCTGCCAGAACGCGATACCTCTACACCGAACATATGCTGCTGATCTCTCGGCTCAAAGAGCGTCAGCGGCCACACGCCAGAGGCAGCAAGTGAAGGCGGTTCTACAGTCATCATCCTCAACTAGAAGCTCGATGGCTCTACCGGCCCAACACCCAAGCAAGGAACTACAATAGAAACGCTCGAATTTCAACTGCTTCATCGCTATATGCAGATACTAAGTTTTCTACTCTACATTGAGGCGCATACAGACGAAAGGCCTACTCACAGCTTCAATAGTCGACCGTCTGGCTGCAAAAGTGAGATATGATCACTGCTGATTTCAGAGACGGTTTTGCAACTATCTTCAGTCAGTTTTAAGACCCATGGTTGGAAGGTATAGAAAGCGATATTCAAGAGAGAGAAAAAAAAAAGCAGGAATATAAGAAACATACCCAGACAAGGCCATGCATGTTTTAAATTCGTCGTAGAGCAGATTGATTGCAAGTTCGACACCTGCCTGTCCGTCATACTGTATTGCATGCCTTGTTAGCACTCCAAGTACATGGTGGCGTCAGAGAGAAAACGAAAGCTTACAGCTAACCCCCAGACAGCTGGTCGTCCGGCAAGACAAAAATCCGCACCCAAGGCCAACGCCTTGAAGATGTCGGTACCGCGTCGGATGCCACCATCCACAGCGATGGCGATCTTACCCTTCGCGACGGGAACCACTTCACGGAGGACGTCGAGGGAGGAAGGGACGGAATCGAGTTGGCGCCCGCCATGGTTGGAGATGACGATACCGTCGAGACCGTATTTGATGGCGAGTTCGGCGTCTGCGCGGGTGTAGACTGATCCCGAAAAGGGTAGGATAGGGTAAGTTACTGGTTACTGTAGAATATACTTGACTGCGAGGAGGGACGACTTACTGCCCTTGCCCCAGATTTGCATTTTGGTGTGTTTGCGGAAGAAGGGGAGGAGGTCGGGCCATTCGATAGAGTCGTCTGGCAGCAGTTAGGGTACATTCCGGTACAGCATTTTGAAATAGAGGATTGAGAACGGACCGTATGCCATGCTCTCGTCGCCTTCCTCGAGGTTGGTCACGTCCACGCCGGGGAAGAGATTGGGGTACTCCATGCCCTTGGGGACCCCGAAGTTATTGCGGAACTCGTTGAGTCTGCGACCGAGGTATGGTGCGTCGAGAGTGACGAAGAGGGCTTTGAATCCGGCAGCTGAATTGAATCATTTACAAAAAAAAGTTAGTCGATCGTCTCTTTGTCTTGTCTTCTTGCAGCTTTTCGGCGGGGGAGTAGGATTCACCTTCGGCACGCTGAATCATCTGAATCATCGCATCTTTATTCTTGAGCAAGCTCATCTGCATAACATACGGGTTGCCCTTGGCATGTGCAATGACTTTCTCCAGAGCGATGGTGGAATAGTTGGACAGGCCCATCAGGATACCACAGGCGGCGGCAGCTTTCGATGTGCCCACCTCACCGTCTGGGTGGGCGAGCGCTTGCATAGCAGTCGGGGAGAACCCGAAGGGGAACTTGACCTGGGTTCCGAAGATGGTGGTCGTGGTGTCGAGCTGGGAGATGTCGCGCAGGACACGGGGTCGAATTAGATATCGGTCATAGGCTGACTGGTTTTCTTTGAGTCTGTACGGTGCTGATTTTTAGCGGAATTGACGGAAGCGAGTAGAGGGAGGTGAAGCATACGTGATCAGATCCATGGCTCCCTCGTTGTAATATTCTGCTGAGCTGTCAGTTTGGAACAATGTGTCGCAGATGGAGGACTTTCCTCGATATGCCTTCTGCATCTTGCTGGATCCGAGTCGCTCGAGATCCTTGAGGCAGAAAACCTCCTTGTTGAGGGTTTTTCCGCGATTCGCCATTGTAGCTTGAAGAAATCAGGCTTGTAGAAGAAGGTCAACGGTGGAATGAACGTCAAAATTACAAAAAGCCGAGGACTGGTATTTGAGTCAAGCTTAGAGGATTTAGAATCCTTGGGGGTTTTTCGCTATCGCCTGCCCGCCGAACTGGAGCGCCCCGCTGAGCCTTGGACTTAGACGTGGACGTGGCTGAGAGCTAAATCTAGACCAAATGTGGTTGAGAACAAACTATTATTGAACTATCAGCTTGGGTTTGAGTAATGGCCAGACTATTCAATGAGAGTCGACATGACAGTGTAGCTGTCTGTACGCTGAAAGGGAGTCGTGTGAATGATAGCAGACATTCTATATAAGTTATTTTAGAGTACTATTCCACACTCTGCAATCTGCATAAATTCCATACTGAGCCAGTTATTCTCCCTTGCATAGTTCTCCATTCGACTTCCAGATCTCGTACTCAAAGTCGGGTTGAAATTCAGTATAGAGTGTTTCCTGCCCAACCATCAGCGGCATTCATTCCAAGCTTAAGGGCTATTCAGTGAGGACTTACTGGGTCAGCGTTCACTTTGGCCGTGAACTCAGCTTCCTTCTCGCCGATGAAATTCTTTGGCAACCCCGTGCTCTCGACCATAATCTGGACTTCGCAAGACCGCTCCATGAGGGTAAATAGATAGGCAGCCTCATCAACCGTACCCCCAGTCGTCAGAAGACCATGATTCTGGAGAACAACGACCCGACCTCTGGCCCCAAGTGCCTCGGCAATACGTTCGCCCTCTTCAGCCCCCAGAACGACACCACCAAAGGACTTGTAGACTGCTTGTGTGCCCCAGAAGTTGCAGGTATCCTGGTTGATGATGTCGAGGGGCCTGCCGAAGGTGGACCACGCTTTCCCCGCGGGCGAGTGCGTATGGCAGGCAGCATGGATGTCAGGGCGAGCACGATGGATGGCGCTGTGAATCATGAAGCCTGCTGCGTTGATGGCGGCCTTGTTGCCGCCGATGACCTGGCCGTTCTCGTCGATCTGCACCATGTCGCTCGCTTTCAGCATGCCAAAGTGCTTCCCCATACTAGATAAGCATGTTAGAACGCCGTAAAAAGACTGGAATCGTACGTACGGGTTGATCCAGAAAGTCGTTGGGTCGACTGGATCCCTCACGCTGATATGACCGCTCGTCCCTTCAGTGAAGCCCTTGCGAGCGAACACGCGAAAGGCACCGGCCATGTGCTCGAGCTGCCACTGGCGTTTCTCGTAGGGGTCGTCAATCTTAGGGATGCCGGGGAACTCGTACCCGCCAGTCGCCAAGGCAGCGTGGTTGCCAGCATTCTGTGTAGCTGGTTTAGCGGCTTCCATTGTCGTGGACATGTTATGTTGATTTCCAAGTGGTGTAAAGTAGGTCCCATCCAACTCAAGATGGCCAGGCTTTTAGAAACAATCTGACCTGCCATAACGTCTTTCTCATGCTGTCATGCATACCTTAATATCATCAGTGTTCGTATCGCGATCGCCTTCCGAAAGAGAATCGGATCCCCCACTAAGATCGATAGGGGGAAAAGAACATCCCCTCATTATCTCCCCGTTCGCTCTGACCTTCCTCCGTAATTACTTCTTGCTCCCCTCCATTTTCAATTTCAAACGCAATCAATTTTGGGCTCCTGGCCTCCTATACGGCTCGATCTGAATTTCATTCTCAACCAGGGCAGGTGATGGCCCTCTCTGCCCATGTCTGTCTCAACCCGACATAACCAGCGGGCTCGGAAGCGCACAAAGACGTTCACCGGTTGCTGGACCTGCAGAACGCGCAAAATCAAATGCGACGAAGCCAAACCGAGCTGCCGGCAGTGTCATGAAAAGGGCCTGGTGTGCGATGGCTACGGAGCCCGTCTCCAGTGGCTCACGCCCGGCACAGACAGGGAGAGTCTCCTACCCGAGGTCCCGCCGGCGGTCTCTGGGGCTCAGTCACTCCGGCGTCTCATCCCGACTGGTCTGTATCCTTGTTTGTTGCCCTTTCCTTTTAGTGTGGTCGTGTAACTGATGGAGCCACCAGAACCGCCCCAGTCGGTTTTGGCGTGGAGTGAGGTTGATAGCATTCTCCGCTACATCGACTCCCTCGAGTCGGTCGTCACCGCCTCGCCGGGGGAGAATGTGAACGCCCATATCCACAACTTTGGTGCGTTCAGTGTACGACAAAAGTACCCTTCCAAGTTTTCTCTATCGGCGGCGCTTGACCCTAAGGGTACCAAGCCTCCAAAAGCCAAGCAGACCCGACAGGAGGCGGACGCGGCGTTCCCTTATGAAGATCCTACGACAGCCGACGTTACTCCCCCGTATGACTCGGAAGCTGAAGCTGCCTGGGATCTGCGTAACCTCCATGGGCATCCCTTCCCTTTGGGCTTTCTTACTGAGCAGCATGACTTAGACGCGTCCGCCATCTCGCCCCTTCTGACCACTCCGCACGTCGTAACCCATTTACCCTGCTATGAGGAAAGTATCCAGGACGCGGATTGCTACACACCAGAGGGGCCAGGAATTACCCCTGATCTCCTACCAGAAGAAGTACGGGTGGCTATCCGGTCACCTCTTGCCAGATCACATGAGACATTGGTCGTACCCACCCATGAGCGTCTTCTCATGGAACACTATCGAAATAGAGTGGTCAATCTATTCTGTGTGATCGACAATGCCAAGAGCCCCTGGAAGAACATTCATCTTCCCCGGGTCCTCCAATGCGCTGGTGAGATCAGCTTTGGAGGCTCCACAACAAGAATCCGTAATGCGTTAAGAAACGCCTTGCTGTCTATCAGTGCTTTCTACCTATCCAACGATCATCAGGCATTTAATCGGAAGGAAGACGCTCAGAAATGGGGGACGATTGCGTCCCGATATCGTTGCGATGCGATCGGGCTGCTCAAGAGTGCGATAGAGAGCGACCTGCACGGGGAAGAAAGGCCCAAGTATAAGGAGTTTCTCGCGACCACATTGTCCATGATCACGATTAATGTATGTTATACACCATCTAAATTGTCTTCTCGTCTTTTCCTAACCGCGTCGAAGGTCATGTCCGGTGATACAAGCACATGCAGCGTTCATCTAGACGGCGCCGAAAAACTCATTACGTACATGAGCGCTCGGAAGTCCAGATTCTCGCGCAAAGCTCAATCCCTCCATCGCATTTATCTATACTTACGAGTGATATATGAGAGCACGGCAGTAAGACGGCTGAGCGGCGACAGCTCCCGCTTCTCGCCGTCCTTGGGATCGCGAAGCACGGTAGGCCCGCAGCCGCCCATAGGACGGGAGCACCTCCTGCTTGCCGACGATGAGACCCCATCATCCATGGCGCACATGAACGCTGGAGAGCTATTCTCGTATGAGTGCATCTACGGTATACCGCAGAGCCTACTGCTGCTCCTCAAGGCCTCCATCGAACTAATCGACGAAGTGAACCACGAGAGAGCGAAAACCGGAAACTTCTGCATCTCCGACCCACTGAACCAGTTATGTAATGATCTCGAACGTGAAACCCTGGACTGGCCGTTGGAGGAGCGCCTTCGCCGACTAAGAGGCGACGGGAACAGCAACGACATCAGCGCAAACATCATCTATCACCAGACCCGAGCGTTCCTCAACTCACTGATTATCTACTTCTCCCAGAGCATCCGGCTGCTCGGCTTCCGTTACCTCCGGCAGTACGTGCAGGCGATTCTGGACAGCATCGAAGCCATTGAGCAGATCAAGGCCGAGACCAAGATCCTGGCCGCGCCGCTCTTCTGGCCGGCTTTTATTGGCGCTACGGAGGCATTCGAACCGCGGCAGCAGGAGCGGTTCCGACAGTGGTATGACCGTGTGGAGATGTATGGGATCACAGCGGTCAGGACTGGGATCCAGGTTGTACAACAAGTCTGGAGACAGGGGCCGACTACGGCCCGGCAGAAGCAGTGCACCTGGCGTAGTATTGTCGACCGGACGGGAGACTGTCTCATGCTGACTTGATCTGACTTGATAATCAGGCTTGTAAATGGGTCTCGACTAAATTACGTAGTTATGCTTTATGATTGGATCTGGGAGGCGCAGTTAGGTCGGTACGAAAACATTATGGATTGTTATCTTATGACTAGCGAGGAGCAAATCACATCAACTTCTATTTTACCTTACGAGAAAAGAAAGTAAAAGCATCTAGGTAGACCTTTTTGGTGGCTCTCTCGCTGTCATTTTCCCCTTCTGTCTGACTACCCCGGCCCACCAGGGGAGGAAGTATCCTGATCATATTTGCTTATAAGAATTTCTTTGATACCTCCAGTATTCACGAGCGCAATCCCTCTTACAGATCCCTCGGACAGTGTACACTGGCAATCCAACTGGAATGAAAGAAACAGTGCGTTTGGGCCGACACTTCTCGCGCGCCGTCAATCGGCCGCGCTGGATGTCATCTCCCCAAGTCCCCACACGAAATGGATTCAGCAATAATACATGTCGTAGACAAGGGCATCCTCAGCCATCGCATGTCCACCCGTCGACAAAGTCCGGGAGACGTACCTCCGGGTTTCTGGCCGCCGTTGTGGTCGCCGGGGTAGTTGGGTACAGCATCGCCGGCCTCTCGCGACCAACCACAACTGCGACCGAGGACCGGGACAAGGTTCCCACGATCCTGGATGAGCAGAAGCTCCCCGACGTTCGATACGCGACATTAGAAGAAATGCACCAGGTCAATCCACCGGGACCCAAATTATCCCTTGAGCATCACTAGGAGAAACCCCAAACTAACTGGCCTCTCCGCAGGACAGGCGATAGCCGAAATCGAGACCGAACTCGGCGAATTCGACGACATGATCTCAACCGATGACGAGGACCTGCGCATGCACGGCTTCGCGGAGTGGTCGTCCGTCAGAGTCGACTCGCTCCCTGTTGCTGTCGCTTATCCGCGCAGCACCGACCATGTCAGCGCGATCGCGCGCATCTGCCACAGGTGGAGAGTGCCCATTATTCCGTACTCCGGTGGTAGTAGTCTGGAGGGCCATACGGCGGCGCCGTTTGGCGGGATCAGCATGGATTTCGTCCATATGGATAAGATCGTGAAGCTCAATGAGGATGATATGGACGTGGTGGTGCAGCCCAGCGTACAATGGGTGGATCTGAACGAGCATTTGAAAAAGATGGGCACTGGGTTTTTTTTTCCTATAGATCCCGGTAACTCCAGTTTCCTAACCCTGTCCTTTGCGATTCGACTTGGTCTACTTGGATGGGAATGTATCGCTCCCCGACAGCCCCCAGCGCAAAAATCGGCGGGATGATCAGCACCAACTGCTCCGGCACAATGCGCGACTGGGTCATCAACCTCACCGTCGTCCTGGCTGACGGCTCCGTCATCAAAACCCGCCGGCGACCGCGCAAATGCAGCGCAGGCTACAACCTCAACGGCCTCTTCGTCGGCGCCGAAGGCACGCTGGGCATCATCACCGAAGCAACGCTCAAACTCGCCGTCGTCCCGGAGCACTCTTCCGTCGCCATCGTTCCCTTCCCGTCCATGCGGGATCCCGTGTCCGCTGCCGCGGCTGTCATCCGCAGCGGGACCCAGGTTGCGGCGCTGGAGCTGATGGATGAAGCCCAGATGCTGATTGTGAATGAGTCTGGTGTTATGTGTCTGCGGGTGTGGAGGGAGCAGCCGACGCTGTTCTTCAAGTTCTCTGGTTCTCCCGTGGCCGTGCAGGACAATACGGAGAGTGTGAGAAGGATTGTGGGTGCGTATGGACCGCAGGGGTTTGAGTTTGCGAGGGATGAGCGCGAACAGGCGCTTTTGTGGTCGGCGAGGAAGGAGTCGCTTTATTCGCTGCTTGCGCTGTGCAAGGAGGGGAGGAGCTGTGTATGTCCCCTTTACCACTTACCAGTGGAATCCCAACAGGTCCGCTTATGATTGACGTGTATGTGCGTTTAGGGAACACGGACGTCGCGGTACCCCTGAGCAGGCTAGCTGATATCATCGAGGCAAGCAAGGAAGAAGCGGCTGCGCTGGGTCTGAATGCCTGCATCAAGGGCCACGTTGGGGACAGTAACTTTCACGAGAATATCACGTATGACGGGACGAAGCCGGAAGAGTACGAGAAGGCCCGGGCGGCCGTTAAGAATATGGTCCAGCGCGCCTTGGATATGGACGGCACGTGTACGGGAGAGCATGGGATTGGATTTGGGAAGAAGGATGCGCTCCGATGGGAGGTCGGTGATGCGACTCTGACGTTAATGGTATGTTTTCTGGTCGAGGGACCTGGGACTGGGAGGAGCTTGCTGACAGGGGAATGACTGTAGAAAGTTCTTAAGGGGGCATTGGATCCTAACTGGATTATGTATGTTGTTGTGTCTCTCTCTCGCGAAAGCAAAGGGAATTGGCTGACTTGTTCGGGCATGTTGCAGGAACCCTGGGAAGATCTTTGATCGGCAATAACAGATTTCCTCGGGTGCTGAGGGATATCGATATATCCGCCAAGTTGACAAGGGTAGATCCCACAGATTCGGGCGTAGTTTCGCAGTGCTAAGTATAGTTTGAAGGGAGAAAATGATAGCATGTGCTACTTCTTTGAGGTGGCTTGGCTCAACTTTGGGATCCATTCCATAATGAATTAGAGCCACGAGTGTGTAAGGATCTAAAGAGAGAGTGTTAGTCAACTGCTGGTAGATAGGTCCATGTGGGTTGGATTATGGATGCTAACCCATGACCAGTCTAATTCATCTCTCTTGGAACATGATCACGCCGTCTTCTCCTGCATGCTAGTCTCATACTCGGAGTACTATTTCGATGACTTGTCTAATCAGTGATAACCATCGTTACCATCCCAGGGACGATCGCCCATGACCCGTGACCATCATCTGACCCTGCAGTCTCCCCCGTAGAATCTTCTGCTGCATTGATTCTCGCCTTCCAGAACTGCTCCAGCCCATGGCCCCGTGACCCCGACCGCAAAAGCTGTCGCATCCCCAGCGTTCTCGACCCAATTATTCTTAGAAAGATGGCGTTTCTCCCCCGGCATTTCATTTTCAGTTCTCTGTTCTCTGTTCCCGTCGGGTTGCCTCCCGCCCGGATTACTGAATTAAGCAATCCGAGTCTTCCACTGACCGTTGAGCAAATGATCACTTTGCTTTGTCTTAGCCTGTATGAGATTATCAGCCCGAGGCTTGGGAAAGATCAGGTATTGTATCATCGCTTCATCATGATTTTATCATCAGTTTGGTTTTGCCTGTCTTAATTCCTGCTCCTCCGTTCGCACCTTCGAGATACCGTTGTAACTTGTAATTCTCCATAGAGAGCGACAACTGTTACTGTCCTTCATATCAGGAAGATTCAAAACGTAGGTAGGTACTCGAACATGCGTACCATGGCTGTACAGAGTGTCATAAACCTGTCGAATACAAATAAACCTACCGACAATAATAGCATAGTTCGTGCCACGATAATTGCATTCCCGCTGGGTCTGGACCGAATCCATCGTTTCGACCAGACTCCCTCGCAGACTCTCTCACCATCATGCTTGCCTCTTTTGGCCACTTATCCAAATTTCGACTGTTCACATGAGCTATCTGGCTTGATCGTAGTACTACCCACCTTTTTCTGGTTTCGTTCATCCGTAGGTTCACAATCGTGAAGTATTTAAGGTGCTCGGTGGCTGCTCTTGAACTCAATCTGTCTTTGATTGTGTCTATCCAGCGTCTATTCTCCTCCCCCTGTGCAGTAATCAAGTCCATTGAACGACTACATCGCGACGTGTTAATCTTGCTTGCCCTTTGACAACTTTCTCGTACTTCGAAAACTGTTCGACCACACATCTACTGAGCTACTCTAATCATAATGTCTGTCTCCATTACTACCGACACTCCTGTCGTTCCTGCCACCAAACAGGCAGACGTCTCTCTGGGCTCCAAGGGTAGAATGCCAGAATTCAGTCTGGCTGGCAAGGTCGTCCTTGTCTCTGGTGCTGCTCGCGGTCTTGGTTTAACCCAGGCCGAAGCTCTCTTGGAGGCCGGCGCCAAAGTGTACGGCTTGGATCGTCTAGAGGAGCCTGTGAGTAACCTTGGCTCTACCACCTTGTTCATGGCACATCTTGTCTAACCATGCTGTATGTGGCAGTCCCCCGAGTTCTTCGAGATCCAGAAGCGAGCCAAGGAGGAACTGGGCACGGAGTTGCACTACCGTCGCATCGATGTGCGCGACTCGGAATTGTTGACCAGCACCGTTGAGCAAATCGCCAATGTCGAGGGTCGGATGGACGGCCTGATCGCTGCGGCAGGCATCCAACAGGAAACCCCGGCCCTGGAGTACACGGCCAAGGACGCAAACACCATGTTTGAGGTCAACGTGACGGGTGTGTTCATGACTGCCCAGGCAGTGGCCAAGCAGATGATTCGCTTTGGTAATGGTGGTAGCATCGCACTAATTGCGAGCATGAGTGGTACTGTCGCGAATCGGGTACGTTCCCATCAGTTCCTTTCCAGAGTGGGAAACGGGGATCCCCGGACTTCCCTTCCCCGCTTCTGACTTATGTCACGGTTGGCCATCAAATATCGGTTGCATGGCCTCGACTGTTCTCATCTGAACGAATGCAATGCTAACTTGACCAGGGTCTCATTTGTCCCGCGTACAATGCCAGCAAAGCCGCTGTCATCCAGCTCGGTCGCAATCTGGCCATGGAGTGGGGTCAATATGGCATTCGCGTCAACACCATCTCCCCGGGCTACATTGTCACGAAAATGGTCGAAGATTTGTTCATTCAGTTCCCGGAGCGCCGAGATGAATGGCCCAAGCACAACATGCTGGGTCGTCTGTCTACCCCCAATGAATACCGGGGCGCCGCAGTCTTTCTCTTGAGTGACGCCAGCAGCTTTATGACAGGAAGCGATCTGCGCATCGACGGTGGCCACTGTGCCTGGTAAAGATTTGTTCGTTGCTTTATTTTTATTTCAATTTTTCTCAGACGACCTTTATTTCTTAATGCTATTGCATGGCGTTTTGTGTCGGGAAATCAAGCGTGATCTGATTCGAGTCAACGTTCTCGTCATGACGTTCCCACTTCCCAGACTTTTCGCATGATCGCATCAAAGGAGGGGGAAAGACATAATCTTGTTTGTTTGTTTGAGTCCAGCGTCACAGATTTCGGTATTCGGGATAATGTATGGTTTTACTTTAGCATATTCGTGGTTTCGACCTACTAATGCTTGGATGATTACAACCATCTGACTCAAATTCCTGTCGCTGATCATCGTGGCCAACAGGGAATACAGCAACTAGAAAGTAGAGTTGCACAAGGCCGCATTATTGTCCATTTAGTCTGAGATCTGACCCACAGAATCATTAGGGAGGAGTCCGAGTAACGGGGCAACTCCGTTCGGCCTTTCTCCCGTCTTTGATCATTGTTTCTCGCTAAGTGCCAGGCCCAGAGAGAATGCTCGCGAACGAGACTCGAATCCGGGGTAACTAGTAACTACCTAAGCGATCCGCCCCAGAAGCCAAATATGTACATCCCGAAACAATTCCATGGTTCACGTTCACATTTACCCAAGTAGCCCATGATATCAGTTTCTGGATAGGCACGTGGACTGACTACCTTAGTTATTCGAACATAAAACAAAGTATCCAACACATTCATCGTTCTAAAAGTTCGAATCTCTGTTGGGATTGATCCAGAATCAGCCAGACGGTGTCACGAGTATTCAGTATTCGTGTCACTTCGATGACAACTCATGAGTTGAGGACTACGTACATTATTGAAAGGAATGCTTGAATCACTGATTTAATTGATGAAATTAACTATATACATGAATAATATATATAGGGTTAATTTATATAAGCTCAATCCGAGCTGGACTTCTCCTTTGCAGCCTCCTTCTCCTCTTCCTCCTTCTTCTTCTTCGCCTCCTCCTCTTCCTTCTCCTTGGCCTTCCTGGCCTTCTTTTTGGCCTTATCAGGCCTTGTTCTTCTTCTTTTTTTCTTGGGCGGGGGGCCAGCGCCCGCAGAGGACGCAGAGGGAGCGGGGCCAGCGGGCTTGGTGATGGGGCGGCGGCCGCGGGCCCAAGGACAAGCAACCGGGGTGTAAACCGGGTGCCGGCGGCCGCATTGCGGGCAAATCGGCCAGCACTCGCCGGTGTGGAAATTTCCACACTGGCCACATCGGCCCCGCTCTATATCCAAGTATGTATTAGTAGTGCCACTCCTCAATGCTTCTCATGGAGGTTGAATCAGTACTGACTTTTTGTAGCAGGCGGGGCGGGGGGAGTGCGGGGAGCGGGCGGCGCCGCAGCAGGAGTTTCGCTGAGAGGAGGCCTATACCGATGTTAGACATACATTGATCCAGTCCAAAGATTTGCTATTGGGGCCAGCTCAATGCTATGTAACTCACATTGTGGTAAGCGAAGATTTTTGAAGTGCAAAAGGAAAACAAACAACATGGGCTCTACGATGCTCTTTTATTACTTGGGATTATGAACACTTGGAAAGGGCCACGGCCAGCGCACTTGCTCCAGACCACAGTGATGCTCCAGCTCTACTCTACGAATCGGAAGGTGATAACCGACATTCGGCAGGAAACACATAGATACACTTTGCAAGGCAGGCCCATTCAGGGTGTATTTTAATTAAGAAGTACTATATAGAGAGCAAGTCAATGTAACACATTCAGTAATTAGCATCTACATAGGCACGTAACCTTACCAGCAGGGCTGACATCCACCCAAATCGTATCAACAAGTCTCGATGACATCGAGTATGTCTCAGGGTGTTATAGGCATAACTTGACCTGATCTCAACGCTATTCGAGGAGGCGCAGCCATCAGGTCCGGTCAAAACAATCTGCTCAGCCCGCCCGTACCATGCTCAATGTCTCCAGCCCATCTCACACGGAAAAGAGTTAGCTGAGCTGGATGATTAAGCCCTTCAATCCGCTACAATCAAGACCAAGAGTTGCAGGAACGATTATGTGACGTCCACGCCTCTTGTCTACGGGGATGAAGATTATCCAGATGATATAAACAAACGCAAGAGCTCCGCCATGAAGCCAAAGGATATCCCCGGAGCGTCGTTAGATAGCGTCAAAAATCGGACCACTAGGCTAAGGTGTCTAGATTGTCATCCAACAAGCTAGCAGTGATATTCAAACATGTTATGGCTCATTTTGACACTATCAAAATCCAATACCACTAGACTAAAAAGGTGTCCGCACGATGTACTCCTTAGGTAGTCGAGGGATTACATGTCCATAGTCATAGTGGTATAATATTTTAACCGACACCTTTCATCCGTCGCTAGTCTCCCGACCAAGATGAAGATCTGCATCTATGACGGAATAGATACATGAATAACATATACAATGTTAATTTATATATGCTCAGTTTGAGCTGGGCTTCTCAGCCCCCTTCTCTTTCTCTTTCTCTTTCTCCTCCTCCTCTTCCTTCTCCTTCGCCTTCCTGGCCTTCTTTTTGGCCTTGTCGGGGCGCTTTCTTCTTCTTTTTTTTGCTGGCGGGGGTGGAAGGCGGCGCCCGCCGAGGAGGCAGGGGGCCCCGGAAACAGAGGGGTACCCCCCAGGTGTGGGCCCCGCCGTAGATGTTCACCACCATTGGTGGCAGTGGGGCCGGGGCTGGAGGAGCTTGGCGGGGCGCGGCCGGGCGACAGGAGCCAGGGCGGTGCCTCTGCCCGCATTGTGGGCAGAGGTAACAGGTGTCTTTGTGGTAATTACCACAACTTGCACAACGCTTCCGCTCTATATCCATATTAGTAATGCCACTCTTCAGATGTTTCTCATGAAGGTTGAATCAATATACTGACTTTTGTTGTTAGCGGCCGGAGGGTGGAGCGGGAGGGGCCGCAGCAGGAGTCTCATTCAGAGGAGGGTATGACCATCACCATTGAAAGTGTAATTGTTGACCACCGATGGTGGCGGCAGGGCGGCATTTGCCGGCGTGCCGGCGGCCACATTACTGGCAGAAGGGCCAGCATCCTCCGGTGTGGAAATTTCCACAAGTGTCACAACTCTTCCGCTCTATATCCAAGTGTCAGTATTGCCACTCTTCAGATGCTTCTCATAAGGTTGAATCAATGTACTGACTCTTAGAAGCGGGGGGAGCAGGACTGCAGGAGGGGCGGGCGCAGCAGGAGGAGCGGGCGCAGCAACTGTCTCGTTAAGGGGAGGCCTATACCAATGTTAGACATACATTGATCCAGTCCAAAGATTCGCTATTGGGGCCAGACGTACCTTGGGCCCCCAGGCATAAGCCTGAGGCTTTTTGCAGACCGGTAGTCCGCCCATTCATTCACGGATGCGCCAGCATGGGGGTATACGTCAAGAATGTTCCTGGAGACTTTAGCGGTGCTTTTTGGACCTTCAAATCTCTCAAGGCCTACACTTAGATTCTTAGCAGGGCTGTTTGAACAGAAAAAGACAGATAAGTATGATTCTTCTGTTCATACTTGGACGAGGCCGTCAGTGATGGTTCAGTATCTCTCTTAGGGCCGTCTGAACCTCGGTAGCCTCCCGCTCAAGAGAATAGAACTCTCTGCCGCGGGGAAGTGGGGTCCTATTGTGTCGTCTACTAAACGTTAGCAAAGAAGCCTCAGAACGTCTGCTGTACGACACGTCAACGTACCTTCCGAGACTTCTTTTTGCCCGTTGTTCCATGTTGGGATCTGTGGGCCTGTTCCATATTCGAAAAGGCATCGATAAGATCCAGAAGAGCTTCCGTCACTTCAATATGTATGGCGGCGGTCCAGTTTAGGGTCGGATCGAGGAAACCAGCGTACCATTGATGATCGCGGAAAGGTCAAGAGCGTTTCTGGCCATACAAGCCGCCACCTAGCCAGCACCAACATCAGTATATTAACAGAAAAAGGAAGTTATCAAAACATACGGGCTTGCAAAGTGCGTGGTGGGTGCGGCATTGCCTGCACAGCGTTGATGTGTTATGTTTGATGACACAGTCAATGAAGAAGGGACGTGTGTCATTTGAATCCCAATTTTCTGCTGCGGTTCTTAACCACGACATGCACCAATAGGTGCCACATAACAAGGTGTCTAGGGCCTGGTCCCGGGTGAGCGTGGTCATTTCGCTCAACGCTGTGTACTCACACTGTAGGTAGCATTCAAAAAGACACCTAAAGGAGATTGTTGTGAGAAACAAACTTTGCTGTTGCAATTGCTGGTGTGGATGAAAGTAAGAATAGAAGGGATGAGAGATGATATGAGGGAAGAGAGAAGATGTGAGGCTGTGAGGAGGGGGGAACTGCTAGAGCTACGGAAGCTTCCATTATTATTCACTTAACCACAGGAAGGTGCGCATTCACCTGCCTAATAGGCAACAATACTCATTTCAGGTATACTTGCTTACTATATGAAATGACGCCCTTCTACTCAAAGAAAATAAATAACGACATTTGAGCAACACAGATAGGAGCAACCCATTTTGGTTGAGAAGTCGTTCAGATCTACATACCTAGGCATGTAACCCTAGTCTCAAGTCTATGATTCCCCGGAATCTCGAAACTTTAAGGTCGATGAGCTCAAAAGGGGTATGTAAAATTGAGGATCAGCGGATCGTAATACATATGCCTGAGTTGACATCATTTTGACTCATGTATAGGTGGAAGTATATATTCATGAGCTCATCTCACGTTCACCTTCACAATTCGATTCCTTCCTCTGTTAAAAGCTGTTGCTTGTGGTTCCCTCAGCCATGACTCGTCGTGATCTGAGCAAAGAGGCCATGAAGGCCAAACGGTCCGCCATTATCAACCACATTCAGCAGCTCCAGCAAGCCCTCAGCTCCGTCAGTACTCCCAACTTTGGGATTGACGAGCTCTGTGAGCTGGGGTTGAAACCAATCAGGGTTGAATTAACGCCAGATAAGGAGCTTTTAGAATTTGAGCCCTGTTTTTTCATGCCCCAGCCTAAATCCATTTCGGAGTATCCGTTCATGCCGGGCGAAGTGATATCTGATCTCGAGGAGGAGCGCACCTATGAAAAAACCCTGGCTGAGCTTATTAGGATGTACCCAAGGTTGGAAAATCCAGAGGAAAAAGCTCGGGAGGAAATCTATGGAAGTCGGATCTCTCACTTCTCTTTCATCACGTTAGCTCCCATGCGTATAACCGTCGCTCTGGGATTTATATCTCCGACAGGCCAGCATCTTTGGTCGAACTCTCACCACTGCGGGACTTGTTGACTTTGTGGACGGCGAAGGGCCGTGTTTCTATCGACCCAGGGGACAGGATAGGGGACGGGCACTGGAACGCATGGTATTCCTACATGCACATCGACCAACCTGCGCCAATGCCCCACATAATAGTCGAACTCCACGTTCAATATCGTGGGAACGACACGAGCCTCACCCATGCTGAAGTCAGTGGGCTCCTCCATCACATGTATCACTGGTATGATTTCGAAGAATTTGAACAGTACGCTATGGGCCCCGTGAGTCTACACCTCTTCTCCACTGATCCTGAGCTCTTCTAACTGTACAGACAGATGTTGGCCATATCGTATATGTGTCCCAAACATGCGAGGATTATTCAGGCACATTACGATGGGGAAAAGGTGGTGTTGCAGTACTCCCCTCTCATGAGTTTCGAAAATAAAGAAACAGCACCGACGTCACTGTTTGCGCGTTACCTATCTGCCGTGCCTATTGGGCTTACCTCAAATACCCTCTGTATCAGGTAAGGTAGGTAGAATGGAAGAGAGGTCTTTGGAGATTACTCCTGCTTCACTGAACTATCGAATTGCTCCTGGCTTGGCAGTCTGATGTTTCGTTCTTCTTGCTTTGCGCTAGGATTCCGGGAATGGAAGGATGTACGTAGCTAAGCACCTTCCTTCAGTTAGGAGTTTCCTGAAGACTCGTGTGATGGAGAGCTTTTCATAGCCGTCGAATGTCGCTGGCCTTGATTCTCTCCTCCATGCACTCGCAATTTTAGCAGCACACGATACGTTTCTACAATAGAGTCCAAGTACCTTTTTCAACTTCGAGATTCGCTTTCCTAGAAACCATCATGCCTAAAATCAAGTGCATCCCCACAAACCCATATGGCTGGGGCCGTTTAGCCAGGGACCACGGAGTAGACAAGGTGACAGTCAACAAGATCGATGCCATGCAGTCTGGTTCCTGCGTCACACCCGAGCAATTCCTCACATTCCGCGTTTTTTGGCGTCCAAGGAAGACAGTGAAGCAGATTACTGGTCGAAATGGAGTGTTCAAAAAAGACGATCTTGAGAAAATGGCGGAGATCTTCAGAACTAATAATGAACGCTTCCACGCCGACTTCGAAGCTTACCTGCGGTCAATCAGAGACAAGAGTGATGCTTCGATTGAGTTGGGACCATTTGCGGTCGTCAGAGAATACCAATTGGAAGCCGCTAAAATGGTTCCAAAAGAAGATAAAGTGTCGACTAGCGTTAGGATGAGCCGAACGCCCGACATAGAAACATCATCCGATAGATCCCAAGAGGGCCGCACACCCTCAGAAAGCAACACAGGGACAACTGACCCCCATTCGACACCAGCGGCTGAGCAGGAGTGGCAGACATTCGAACAGACCCCGACGAGCAATATGTCAATCAGGCGCTGATAGCATTTCTCGACGCGGTAACCCTGAATACCCCCAACCACAAGTGTTATTGGGGTATACGACGTCTCCCGTTCAAGGTCAAGTTCGATCAAGCCAGCATAGAGGCCCGCACAGATGGCTATCTGCCCAATCGCGCTAGGGACGAAGAAGCGTTCGCAATCGTGGAAACCAAGGCTCGTCTCCGGCAAAAAGGCGACCAGAGAGATTGCGAAATCTACATGCAAGAAAGCGCCGAGATGGTCGTTTGGATACTTAAGGACAAGCGTGAGGGACGCACAGTGCGCCTCAACAACCAGTAAGTTTGACTTCCATTCAGCATTATCAGCTGGCTACTAATACTCTGTGTCATTAAGACGCCTTCTAGTCTCCCAAGATCGACATAAAATCTACCTTACCTGGGCATCATATAATGCATCCTATGTCGACTACGCACAGATGGCTATCTCTACGGACCCAGGGGGGGCGACGAAGCATTCGCAATTGTGGAAACCAAGGCTCAGTGTTGAGGAAGATCAGGATTTAGGAATGTGACCTAACCACAGGCATCAGCTAGAGAAGAAGGAAAGACCACAGTATTTATTCCTCAGATAGTAAATAATATAAGCCTTATTCACGGCTCTAGAGGCTCTATATTCACTTTATTCTTTGAATACATTGCCTATATATCGTTACTCTTTAGTCTCTATTAGAAAGTACTCCTATTAGGCTATCTTGATTAGTAGAGTAATTAGAACTATAAGAACACCTAGGGAATGCTCTTAATTAAATAATAGATAGCATGATAGTAGCAATACCTTTATTATTGAACTAATTACTAGGGTATAAGATGCTCACCCCTTAGCAGGTAATGATATCTCTATAGGTCACATACTGCCCACATGACCCCTGCAGTTCACTACATACAGGCTCGCTGTGCCTAACAATATGCTGCTTAAGGGACTACAGTCTATAATGTAGGTAGGCGATCATCATCTCCCTCAGACCCCTGACTTTCAGTTTTCTCCCAATGGCTTGCCGTAGGCGGGACTTGAGATGGCGGCGCCCGCATTGCCCACAGAGGGGCCAGCACTCGCCAGTGTGGAAGTTTCCACACTGGCCGCATCTGCCCCGCTCTATATGCAAGTATTAGTATTACAAGTCTTCAAATGCTTCTTCTGAAGGTTGAATCAATACTTACTTCTTTTGTTTGCGGGGCAGGCCGGGGGCCTCTTTGGTGGTAGAGGTCCTATACCGATGTTGCACATAAAGGTTCGCTATTGGGGCCAGCTCAACGCTATGTACTCACATTCCATGTATTGGGGCCAAAAGGCACCAAAAGAAGATTGTTTCTGAGACCTCAATTTTCACTGCTGGGGTTGAAGAAGGAGCGCGAGGAATTTGCCGCTTGGATGCTCATGAAGATCATGATCAAGGAAGTCTGTGACTATTAGTCACTGAACACATTGCAGCTCAGATGAATGGTGTGCTTACTTCTAGCCTCAAGGGCTACCTCTTACATAGAGGTGCGTCCAGTAAGCCAGGAGTTGAGCGTTGCAATTCCAGACCTTCTTGATGACTAGCATTCATCTCAACACTGTTTCCGATTTGAACCTTTGCCTTTGTTAGCAAGGCGCAGCTCCAAGGATTGTCTTGTTTGTTTGATTGAGAACAGGAAATACTTATGCTGTACTGGTAGACATTGCGAGCAGGGAACTTGGTGAAGGCCGGCGGGGGCCGGCGCCCATAGAGGTCTGCAGAGGGGATTGGGTGGGCGGCCATGGTGATGGAATGTGGCCGTCACCATGGCTATACAAGTTGTTAACAACCCTTAGTAGCTGGTGGTGGGCTTAGGGCCAGCAGGTGGGACGACAGTAAAGGAGATTGTTTTAGTTAAAAGTAAGGAATAAGGTGGAAGGGATGGGAGAAGATATGAGTGCTATGACAGGGGCGGGGGAAGTTGTAAGAGCTACAGAAGCTTCCATCATTCAGTCAACCGCAGGAAGATGCACATTTACTTAACTAATAGGCAGTAATGCTTTCTATTTTAGCCCTTCTACTCCAAGAAAATAAATGACAACATTTAAGCAACATAGATAAGGGCAATCCAAGTCCTAGTGAAGGAGTAAGCTTTAAAGTCTTAGTTTGATTCCACTCTACTGAATATATCCAAATAGTCCCAGAGTAAATATATATCTTCGCTACACGTGTTAAGGATGGTGACATACCAGGACTTCTCATGATTTTAAATTGGTACAGTCAAAGGTAGGTCAAACTTGAGTTTGAGCTCAGGAACACTCAACAAACAATATATATGCTAATAAATTAAGGATAGAAGATGCAATATTGCCATTCATTATGGCTGTGGAGCACAGATGGGATTATCTGATGACAATATTCCAGAGAAAACCCTCATGGTATGCCTTGGCTATGGATTCCCTGGGGATTCAGACCACAAGTCGGTACACAGTGGAGCTAGAAATTTATATCAAGCCTGACCAGAAACACTAAGGCATCGGAAAATGTCTCTTAGACGAACTGGTGTCAGATTGCCGAGGGTGGTGGGGTTTACCTGCGTCTCTCGGAGAGAATCCGAGATGTTGTTTTCATAAATATGGGATATTGAGGGGAACATGAAGATCCACGACAACTATTTAAAGAGATGAATTGAACCCAATCCAAGTGCGGGGACAACTAGCACATTGAATCGTTCACACGATCCGACACCAGGCGTACTCGTCCTTGACCTCGAGCTTGAGAATATAGAACACGATGGCATCAAATCAGATCAACCGCAACAAATTCTTTCCAGGAGGCATTCACGTTCCCTGTCTGACCTTCTTCCAAAATAACCCACGCCAGGACATTGACTGGGACGTACAAGAGAAGCATCTCTCGTTCCTTATCCAGTCCGGTCTCCACGGAAGTACGTCCCTCTCCCCCATCCCCCCACCATACAAGGCTGCAACCTAACAACGTCAACAGTCGTCCTCGCCGGCTCCAACGGCGAAGCAGTCACACTCTCAACCGTTGAAAAGACCTCTCTCGTCCAACTAACCCGCAAGCTCGCAGCCCGCCTCAACCGCCCAGACGTAACCATCACCCTCGGCTGCGGCGGCCAATCCACCCACCATGTCATCGACGAGACCATCGCAGCCCAGCAAGCCGGCGCCGACTTCGCCATGGTCCTAGTACCGAGCTACTACCATTTCGCCATGGACTCCGCCGCCATCGTGTCCTTCTTCGAAGAAGTCGCAGACCACAGCCCCATCCCCGTCATGGTGTACAATTACCCCGGTGTAGCGGCGGGGCTGGACGTCGACTCTGACATGCTGGTGAAGCTGAGCGCGCATCCGAATATCTCGGGTGCCAAGTTGACGTGTGGAGGTATTGGGAAGGTCCCCCGTGTGACGGCCAATGCGGCGAGTCCGTTCAGCGTGCTCGGTGGGCAGATTGACTGGATGGGCCCGGCGATGGCGGTTGGTGCTGTCGGGGCGATTACGGGAATGGCGAATCTGTACCCGAGGGTGAGTATCCTTTTCCAGGTCTGTTTACTGTGCGCTGATTGTGATACTGTGGCGGTAGGCGTGTGTCGAGCTGTACGATCTCTACAAGGCTGGTAAGGTCCAGGAAGCAACGGAGCTCCAGTTGAAGGCTGCCACGTCGGAATGGGCCTTTGCAAAGGGAGGAATCAACGGGAGCAAATGGGTCGTCGCCAAATTGCTGGGCTATCCCGATGACAGCGCCGCTTGCCGAAGACCATATCCTCTCTTCGCGGATACAGCTAAACAAGAATGGATGCTTGAGCTAGCCGGGAAGCTGAAGCCAGTCGAGGAGGTGCTGCTCACACGTTCAACATAGCCAGAATATCATCATCTTATAGTACATAGATCCAATCAATCAGTCATTTACATCAAAATATAGTACAAACCCTCCCTCACACATCAAACCCATACCCAAACCCACGAACCGTCATCAACCAACCACCCCTACAACTCCCTTCGCCCCCAACCGCCCCAAAAC